TATAATGAACAGTTTTTTGGATAAGGCTAAAAGGTCTTTGTGGCATTTATGGTTTTGGAAAAGGCGTATGACAGGGTGGATGGGGGGGCAATGTGGCAGATTTGCAAGGTTTGGGTAGGGGGTAGGTTAGAAAGAGGAAGAGTTTTTACGAGGATATGGGGCTCAAGTTAGAGTATGTAGGAAAGAGGGAAATTTTTTCCCAGAAAAGTAGGCTTAGACAAGGATGTGTGATGTCACCGTGGTTGAATATATTATAGATGGGTTGAAAGAGAAGTAAATGCGGGGGTTCTTGGCAAGAGGGGGAGTTAAAAGAAAAGAATCACACACAAAGTGGGGTTGTCCAGCTCTCTTTGTGATGACACTGTGCTTTGGGAGATTCTAAAGAGAATTTTGCAGAGATTGGTGGATGAATTTGGTGGGTGTGAAAAAAGAAAAAAATTAAAGGGAATACAGGAAAGAGTAAGTTATGGGATAAAAAAAGATTGGTGATGAAAAATTAAATATAAATTGGAGGGAGAGAGTATGGAGGGGTGAACGTATTCAGATATTTGGGAGTGGACTTTGTCAGGGATGGGTCTATGAAAGATGAGGTGAATCATAAAATTGTGGGGGAAAAAGAGTGAGTGGTGACTTGGGAGTCTGGGAGACAAGAACTTTGCCCTTTGGAGGAAAAGAGGGGAGTATGGATATAGTTTTCCCAAACGCTCTTTAGGGTGTAAGCGTGGGTGATGAATGTTGCGCGAGGAGAAGGCTGGGGGGAGTGGAGGTCATTCGAGGGCAATGTGTGGTGTGAAAATTAAGCAGAGAATTCGTTTTTTGGGGAAATTTGGAGGAGGGGCGGGATTTCCAAAAATGTTGTCCAGAGGGGAGGAAGGGGTTTTTGAGGTGGTTGGACATGTGAGGAATGGAGCGAAACAGAAGACTTAAAGAGTGTATCAGTCTGTGTGGAAGGAAGGGGGGGTAGGGGGCGGGCCCCGGAAGGGTTGGAGGGAGGGGGTAAGGAGGGTTTTTTGTGCGAGGGGGTTGGACCCTTCCCCTAGGATGCGTGAGGTGTTTGTAGGGGTGAAGGAGACAAATGGGTTTAATATTAGTGCTGTTGGAGTGTGAGAAAGTAACATTTATAAGGGATCAGGGAAACCGGCCGGCCGGGCTTGAGTCCTGGGGATGGGGAAATACAGTGCCTGCACTCTGAAGGAGGGGTGTTTTAAAGTTGCAGTTTTAAAAAAGTAGTGTAAGGCCCCCCTTTTGGGAAGACAGTGATGGAGTGTTTTATGGTTTAAAAATTTTTCTTTTTCGGGCCACCCGGGCCCTTTGGGGGGAATCGGCCCGGTGGAAATAAAAAAAAAAATAAGTTTTATATTCCCCCAAAAAATGACACTACAGTACAGCAAAAAAAAAGTTTTACAAAATTTTCATTGACTTTATTACCCAGGGAAAAGCATGTACAGACTTTTGCTCATGTTTGGGTAATTAAGTTTCATTTCCATAGTAACTGCTTTCCCTGCACCATTGTCAAGTTGAAATACAGTAGACCTCTCATACCACATGGATTTATTTGACAGGTTTTGGCTAGTATACTATTGAAAAATTGCGCATAATTTTAAACACTTCATAAAATTAACACGATTCAGTTTGTGGGAGGGGAAGAAATTTGGAGCATCGCCTGCGGGGTGTTTCCCTTAGCTCAGGCTGCGGGTGAGACCACTGTCTCCACAGGGCGGCACTGGGCTTCAAGGATCACTTCACCTTGCTCCTTTGCAGTAATGTGTCAGGTGATTTTAAGTGTAAGCCCATGGTTATTTACCGCTCTAAGAATCCTTGTGCTTTGAAAGGTGTAGACAAAAACACCTTAGCAATCAAACCAATCAGCATGGATGACAGAGAAAATATTTATTGACTTGTTTAAGCATCACTTGATTCCTGAAGTCAAGTTTTACCTGCACGGCAAGAACCATGCATTCAAGGCTCTCTTCATTCTTGATAATTCCCGTACTCATCCACAAGCTTTACTGGATGTGATCCCATGTGTAAAAGTTATATTTTTACCTCCAAATACATCTTTAATACAACCACTGGCTCGAGGAGTTAAGTTATTCAGGTGTAACTACACAAGAAAAGTGATGGAAAAACTAGTTGCATCAGTGGACTCTTGACTCCAACCTGACAGTTCCAAGCTGGAATAATGTATATTGTACTGCAGGGTAAAAGAAGCCAGAGATCCATTACAGAATTTATGCACACTCCAATACAATCATCGACTAGCACCAGAACCACAACCATCAACTTTAGCACCAGAACCACAACCATCGTCTTTAGCACCAGAACCACAACCATCGACTTTAGCACCAGAACCACAACCATCGACTTTAGCACCACAACCATCGACTTTAGCACCAGAACCACAACCATCGACTTTAGCACCAGAACCACAACCATCGACTTTAGCACCAGAACCACAACCATCGACTTTAGCACCAGAACCACAATCATCGACTTTAGCACCAGAACCACAACCATTGACTTGAGCACCAGGACCACAACCATCGACTTTAGCACCAGAACCACAATCATCGACTTTAGCACCAGAACCACAACCATCGACTTTAGCACCAGAACCACAACCATCGACTTTAGCACCAGAACCACAACCATCGACTTTAGCACCAGAACCACAACCATCGACTTTAGCACCAGAACCACAACCATCGACTTTAGCACCAGAACCACAACCATCGACTTTAGCACCAGAACCACAACCATCGACTTAAGCACCAGAACCACAACCATCGACTTTAGCACCAGAACCACAACCATCGACTTTAGCACCAGGACCACAACCATCGACTTAAGCACCAGAACCACAACCATCGACTTTAGCACCAGAACCACAACCATCGACTTCTGCTGACAACCAAGAACTGTCCACCTCAGCCCAGTAGGGCCACACCTTGCATCTCCACTCTCTTCACAATCACTGATATACACCAGCAACCACAATTTAAGGTAAATAATATTATTTCTGTTGCATTTGTAGTCTTAAGCAACAAAAACAACATTATCATTTTTATTTTGGAAGATGTGGATCTCTAAAAAAAAAAAAAAACTGTTGCTTCTGGAGGAGCCCCTGGAACGTAACCCTATTTTTCCCATAAGTTCTTCAGTTTTATATAACACGGATTTATCTATACCGGCATTTAAGAACATAAGAATGTAGGAACACTGCAGAAGGCCTACTGGCCCATACGAGGCAGGTCCTTATCAAAACGACATATACCTAAAGCTACTCAAGAAATAACTCCCGTACCCCTTGACACCAATCAAACCCAGCCCCTCCCACTCATATATTTGTCCAGTCTCTTCTTAAAGCTACCCAAGGTCCTAGCCTCTATCACCCCACTGGGAAGACTGTTCCACGCATCTACAACTCTGTTAGAAAACCAGTACTTACCTATGTCCTTTCTAAATCTAAATTTATCCAACTTAAATCCATTATTCCTGGTTCGACACTCTCAGTACTTTATTAATGTCTCCCTTGTTTATGCCCGTCATCCACTTATACACTTCAATGATATCTCCCCTCATTCTACGCCTCTCCAGAGAGTGGAGATTTAAGGCTTTAAGTCTATCTTCATATGGGAGGTTCCTTACACAGTAAATCATTTTAGTCATTCTTCTCTGTATGTTCTCTAATGAGTCTATGTCCATCCTGTAGTAAGGGGACAAAAACTGAGCAGCATAATCTAAATGAGGCCTCACTAGTGATGTATAGAGCTGTAAAATAACTTTTGGACTTCTGTTACTTATACTTCTTGAGATAAATCCAAGTAATCTGTTGGCCTTGTTGCGCACACTAAGGCACTGCTGTCTTGGCTTTAGATTTCTGCTTACCATGACTCCCAAGTCTTTTTCACATTCTGTATGACCAAGCTCTACTTCACCTAGATTATAGCTTCGAGGAACGTAACTACTGTGTAATATAAGGGTCTACTTTATCATCAGTCGAACCATCATAAAGTGAGGAGCATGTGTACTATATTTTGTGGCATATAGGACCCTCCTAAATTTATGAAATATCACTTGTTTATTTATTTTCTTAATTATTCTCTTTGTTAAATGGAATTACTCATAGATCCCAAGCCTGATATTCCTTGTGTAGGACACAGAGATATTTTGAAAAGAAAGTGCATTTTGTGTATCGCAAGATGGTAGACAGCAACCGCCCAGGGAGGTACTACCGTCCTGTGGTAGTAGGCTGGTAGACAGCAACCACCCAGGGAGGTACTACCGTCCTGTGGTAGTAGGTTGGTAGACAGCAACCGCCCAGGGAGGTACTACCGTCCTGTGGTAGTAGGTTGGTAGACAGCAACCGCCCAGGGAGGTACTACCGTCCTGTGGTAGTAGGTTGGTAGACAGCAACCACCCAGGGAGGTACTACCGTCCTGTGGTAGTAGGTTGGTAGACAGCAACCACCCAGGGAGGTACTACCGTCCTGCCAAGTGAGTGTAAAACAAAAACTAATTGTTTTACATGATGGTAGGATTGCTGGTGTCTTTTTTATGTCTCATTAACATGCAAGGTTGCAGATACGTCTTGCTATTTCTACCTAGGTCACATTACACATGCATGTACAAGCATATATATGCACAGTTGCACACCCCTCTGGGTTTTCTTCTATTTTCTTACTAGTTCTTGTTTATTTCTACTTATCTCCAAGGGAAAGTGAAACAGAATTCTTCCTCCGTAAGTCATGTGTGTCGTAAAAGGCAACTAAAATGCCGGGAGCAAGGTGCTAGTAACCCCTTCTCCTGTATAAATTACTGAATTTAAAAAGAGAAAATTTTGTTTTTCTTTTTGGGCCACTCCGCCTCGGTGGGATATGGTGCCTTGAAAAAAAAAAGGGGGAGGGGGGGAAGATTGAGTTGCCATGGTAATCTGCTGACATAAAATTTTTACAGCAATAATGAATATTAATTGAATTTTTCAATATTTTCTTCCATCAGGCAAGGTGACCAACATTCCTGGCGGTATGGTAACGGATCAGTTTGGCATGGTGGGGCTCCTGACATTTATCAGAGCAGCGGAAACAGACCACAACCTCGTCTCATTGGCGTTAGGTTCTGATCTAACTACGTTAGGTCTTAATTTGAATTCTCCAGAAAACCTATACCCTAATTTTGCTGGTCCTTGGGCAGAAACGCCATGCAGACCGCAGGATATTGACTACCATGTACCCCAAGAGTATCTTACCAACCAACAAATAAGGTATATCATTTTTATAATTTTTTCAATGAACAGGCTATATCCCACCAAGTCAGGGTAACCTAAAAAAGAAAAACAAAAGTTTCTCTTTTGTTTTGTTTTTAAATTTAGTAATGTATGCAGGAAAAGGATTACTAGCCCCTCATTCCCTGAAATTTTCTTTCAACTGTAATATCACATATAATCAATAAAAATAATTTGTATTTATTAGACTAATGTTGTACACAATAGGACAGTCTCCCAGTGAGGCAGGGTGACCCGAAAAAAAACTTTCACAATCATTCACACTACCAGTCTTGCAGATACGGCAATTCAGATTTCCCTCCAGACAGTCAATATCTCTAACCCCCTTCCTTAAGAGTGTAGGCATTGTAGTTCCCACCTCCAGGACTCGAGTCCAGTTTCCCTGAGTCCCTTCACTAAATGTTACCCAATATTCTCTTAAATCATAGTCTCAAATTTAGTCAGTTATTTTTTTTTTTTTTTTTTTATTATCACACCGGCCGATTCCCACCAAGGCAGGGTGGCCTGAAAAAGAAAAACTTTCACCATCATTCACTCCATCACTGTCTTGCCAGAAGGGTGCTTTACACTACAGTTTTTAAACTGCAACATTAACACCCCTCCTTCAGAGTGCAGGCACTGTACTTCCCATCTCCAGAACTCAAGTCCGGCCTGCCGGTTTCCCTGAATCCCTTCATAAATGTTACTTTGCTCACACTCCAACAGCACGTCAAGTATTAAAAACCATTTGTCTCCATTCACTCCTATCAAACACCGCTCACGCATGCCTGCTGGAAGTCCAAGCCCCTCGCACACAAAACCTCCTTTACCCCCTCCCTCCAACCCTTCCTAGGCCGACCCCTACCCCGCCTTCCTTCCACTACAGACTGATACACTCTTGAAGTCATTCTGTTTCGCTCCATTCTCTCTACATGTCCGAACCACCTCAACAACCCTTCCTCAGCCCTCTGGACAACAGTTTTGGTAATCCCGCACCTCCTCCTAACTTCCAAACTACGAATTCTCTGCATTATATTCACACCACACATTGCCCTCAGACATGACATCTCCACTGCCTCCAGCCTTCTCCTCGCTGCAACATTCATCACCCACGCTTCACACCCATATAAGAGCGTTGGTAAAACTATACTCTCATACATTCCCCTCTTTGCCTCCAAGGACAAAGTTCTTTGTCTCCACAGACTCCTAAGTGCACCACTCACTCTTTTTCCCTCATCAATTCTATGATTCACCTCATCTTTCATAGACCCATCCGCTGACACGTCCACTCCCAAATATCTGAAAACGTTCACCTCCTCCATACTCTCTCCCTCCAATCTGATATTCAATCTTTCATCACCTAATCTTTTTGTTATCCTCATAACCTTACTCTTTCCTGTATTCACCTTTAATTTTCTTCTTTTGCACACCCTACCAAATTCATCCACCAATCTCTGCAACTTCTCTTCAGAATCTCCCAAGAGCACAGTGTCATCAGCAAAGAGCAGCTGTGACAACTCCCACTTTGTGTGTGATTCTTTATCTTTTAACTCCACGCCTCTTGCCAAGACCCTCGCATTTACTTCTCTTACAACCCATCTATAAATATATTAAACAACCACGGTGACATCACACATCCTTGTCTAAGGCCTACTTTTACTGGGAAAAAATTTCCCTCTTTCCTACATACTCTAACTTGAGCCTCACTATCCTCGTAAAAACTCTTCACTGCTTTCAGTAACCTACCTCCTACACCATACACTTGCAACATCTGCCACATTGCCCCCCTATCCACCCTGTCATACGCCTTTTCCAAATCCATAAATGCCACAAAGACCTCTTTAGCCTTATCTAAATACTGTTCACTTGTATGTTTCACTGTAAACACCTGGTCCACACACCCCCTACCTTTCCTAAAGCCTCCTTGTTCATCTGCTATCCTATTCTCCGTCTTACTCTTAATTCTTTCAATTATAACTCTACCATACACTTTACCAGGTACACTCAACAGACTTATCCCCCTATAATTTTTGCACTCTCTTTTATCCCCTTTGCCTTTATACAAAGGAACTATGCATGCTCTCTGCCAATCCCTAGGTACCTTACCCTCTTCCATACATTTATTAAATAATTGCACCAACCACTCCAAAACTATATCCCCACCTGCTTTTAACATTTCTATCTTTATCCCATCAATCCCGGCTGCCTTACCCCTTTCATTTTACCTACTGCCTCACGAACTTCCCCCACACTCACAACTGGCTCTTCCTCACTCCTACAAGATGTTATTCCTCCTTGCCCTATACACGAAATCACAGCTTCCCTATCTTCATCAACATTTAACAATTCCTCAAAATATTCCTTCCATCTTCCCAATACCTCTAACTCTCCATTTAATAACTCTCCTCTCCTATTTTTAACTGACAAATCAATTTGTTCTCTAGGCTTTCTTAACTTGTTAATCTCACTCCAAAACTTTTTCTTATTTTCAACAAAATTTGTTGATAACATCTCACCCACTCTCTCATTTGCTCTCTTTTTACATTGCTTCACCACTCTCTTAACCTCTCTCTTTTTCTCCATATACTCTTCCCTCCTTGCATCACTTCTACTTTGTAAAAACTTCTCATATGCTAACTTTTTCTCCCTTACTACTCTCTTTACATCATCATTCCACCAATCGCTCCTCTTCCCTCCTGCACCCACAAACTTCTGCTGAACACTCTAACACTACATTTTTAAACCTACCCCATACCTCTTCGACCCCATTGCCTATGCTCTCATTAGCCCATCTATCCTCCAATAGCTGTTTATATCTTACCCTAACTGCCTCCTCTTTTAGTTTATAAACCTTCACCTCTCTCTTCCCTGATGCTTCTATTCTCCTTGTATCCCATCTACCTTTTACTCTCAGTGTAGCTACAACTAGAAAGTGATCTGATATATCTGTGGCCCCTCTATAAACATGTACATCCTGAAGTCTACTCAACAGTCTTTTATCTACCAATACATAATCCAACAAACTACTGTCATTTCGCCCTACATCATATCGTGTATACTTATTTATCCTCTTTTTCTTAAAATATGTATTACCTATAACTAAACCCCCTTTCTATACAAAGTTCAATCAAAGGGCTCCCATTATCATTTACACCTGGCACCCCAAACTTACCTACCACACCCTCTCTAAAAGTTTCTCCTACTTTAGCATTCAAGTCCCCTACCACAATTACTCTCTCACTTGGTTCAAAGGCTCCTATACATTCACTTAACATCTCCCAAAATCTCTCTCTCTCTCTCTGCATTCCTCTCTTCTCCAGGTGCATACACGCTTATTATGACCCACTTCTCGCATCCAACCTTTACTTTAATCCACATAATTCTTGAATTTACACATTCATATTCTCTTTTCTCCTTCCATAACTGATCATTTAACATTACTGCTACCCCTTCCTTTGCTCTAACTCTCTCAGATACTCCAGATTTAATCCCATTTATTTCCCCCCACTGAAACTCTCCTACCCCCTTCAGCTTTGTTTCGCTTAGGGCCAGGACATCCAACTTCTTTTCATTCATAACATCAGCAATCATCTGTTTCTTGTCATCCGCACTACATCCACGCACATTTAAGCAACCCAGTTTTATAAAGTTTTTCTTCTTCTCTTTTTTAGTAATTGTATACAGGAGAAGGGGTTACTAGCCCATTGCTCCCGGCATTTTAGTCGCCTCATACGACACGCATGGCTTACGGAGGAAAGATTCTTTTCCACTTCCCCATGGACAATAGAAGAAATAAAAAAGAACAAGAGCTATTTAGAAAAAGGAGAAAAACCTAGATGTATGTATATATATATATGCATGTGCGTGTCTGTGAAGTGTGACCAAAGTGTAAGTAGGAGTAGCAAGATATCCCTGTTATCTTAGCGTGTTATATTTGTTTTATTTGAATACTCTGTAAACAGTAAAGGGATCAGGGAAACTAGCAAGCCAGACTTGAGTCCTGGAGGTGGGAAGTACAGTGCCTGTGCTCTGAAGGAGGGGTGTTGATATTGCAATTTTAATAACTGCAACACACCTCTGGCAAGACAGTGATGGAGTGAATGATGATGAAAGTGTTTCTTTTAGGTCACTGTGCCTTGAAAAACAGCTGATGTTTTAAAAAGAAAACTAGAACCAAGATATTTTTCTCCTTTGCAGAGGGAAGTTGGCGCCGGTTAAGTTTGACAGATATGGAGAAGATCTACTCTTTTACATGTTCTATTCTAATGCAGGAGATTTGCTACAAATTCTCGCAGCAGCTGAATTGTAAGTTACGTGTATTGTTCTCAAGACTCGCGATGGAATGATAGTAAGTTACGTGTGTTGTAGTTCTCCAGACTCATGACGGAACAATTGTAAGTGTGTGTATTTTGTCCTCCAGACTTGTGACAAAGATTTATTACAGGATAACAAGCACTTACTGACTCATGCACAGTTTATTTTGGATTTACAGTATAACTTCCTTTATAAAGCTCTTCTCGATAGCATGATTTGAAAAAAAAATTATCCAAAAATATTAGTGTCTGGAGAGGCCTTCACACTTCCTGCTCATTTATGGAAACAGTTTCTCAGTCATATTTGCAAAGTCTCACACTGTATGGAAAAGTATATTAATGCAGTTTGGTTATTGAACGATGAAAAAAATAGGTAGACTAGGAAGGTATACAAATCTAGGGTATGTATACCTTTAAATTTTGAGTGTCTAAGTACCCTTGAAGCCTGGCCATGGGCCAGGCTAGAGATAGGGGCCAGGCTAGAGAAAAAGAGTGGTAGGGGTTGTCCCAGGAAGGGTTGGAGGGAGTGGGTAAATGAGGTTTTGAGTGCAGAGGGCTTGGCAAAAGGTTCTGTGCACACGTTAAATAGAAATGAAGGTAAATTTTTTTTATTTGACACGACATGTTAGTGTGAGAGCATATATGAAGTATTCAGGAAAGCAATTAGCCAGACTTGAGTCCTGGTAGTGGGATGTACAGTGCATGCACTTCGAAGGATATGTGAGGGATGTTGCAATTTGGACGGTCTTCTGAACTGTGATGTCAGCACACTCCTGGAAAGACAGTGATTGAATGATAGATGGTGAAGTGTTTCTTCTTTTTCCAGGCTACTTTACCTCAGTGGGACATGGTCATTGTGTTTGTATCAGAACCTCTGTGTATAATGTGCATGTGTCAGAACCTCCATGTATAATGTGCTTGTGTCAGAACCTCCATGTATAATGTGCTTGTGTCAGAACCTCTGTGTATAATGTGCTAGTCTTAACCTCATAATGTATGTGTACCTTAACCTCACAATGTGTGCATGTACCTTAACCTCACAATGTGTGTGTACCTTAACCTCAAAATTTACGTGTGTGTACATTATACAGTGGACCTCCGGTTAACGATATTTTTTCACTCCAGAAGTATGTTCAGGTGCCAGTACTGACCGAATTTGTTCCCATAAGAAATATTGTGAAGTAGATTAGTCTATTTCAGACCCCCAAACATACACGTACAAACGCACTTACATAAATACACTTACATAATTGGTCGCATTCGGAGGTAATCGTTATGCGGGGGTCCACTGTACTATTACGTACTATGACAATTTGATTCTATCTCTGTACTATCAGCCTGTCATACTTGACCTTTCTTTCTCTCTTTCTCTGAAACTCTGCAGCACTTTCTCTCCCTCATTTAAAAGCAGTTATCTGTGCTGTTGGAGTGTGAGCAAAGTAACATTTATGAAGGGGTTCAGGGAAACCGGCAGGCCGGACTTGACTCCTGGAGATGGGAAGTACAGTGCCTGCACTCTGAAGGAGGGGTGTTAATGTTGCAGTTTAAAAACTGTAGTGTAAAGCACCCTTCTGGCAAGACAGTGATGGAGTGAATGATGGTGAAAGTTTTTCTTTTTCGGGCCACCCTGCCTTGGTGGGAATCGGCCAGTGTGATAATAATAATAAAAAAAATAAATAATTACTGTCACTAAGATTATAAGTTATGTATGTTGTTCTCCAGACTGTAACTAAATGCCAGTACTGAAAAGTAAAAAAATATATACAAATTATGGACTTACTTGCCTTCATGCTGGGTAATTATCTAAAGTTTCCTCTCCCATGTAATTGCTCTTGCACCATTGTAAAGTCAAAATTTTGTAAGTCAAACCATTGTATGTCAAGGAGTAATTGCACAAATTAAGTTAACTTAACGGTGTTTGCACTCAGCATCTGCGAATTTAACTGTTGAAAAATGTTTAGATATTAGTCCATGCTGTTGGTTGCGTTGTATTTATAAAAATATTAATTTTGTAGGTATAGTCGGGACTGGAGATACCACAAGGACGAGCGTGTATGGATAACCAGAGCTCCAGGAATGGCGCCTGTGGATAAGGGTCCAAATTATGAACGTGGAACATATTTTTATTTTGATGCCCAGGTGAGGATAGTGTCTTGTTTATCCATATTAATCCAGTAAAGTTTACTTGGTAGAATAATACTAGTGTTTGTATTTCTTATGTAAATTATGTATTATTCATCATCCCATCTTAATTACTACTACGATTTGTATATGCAAGTGTTTCCTAGATTCTTCTTCCCCCTCATCTTTCCGTTCCTCCTGCAAGTTATACCCCCACCATAGGAAATCTCTGTGCTCCAGGTCTGTCCTTCCTTTTCCAAAGGTTCATGCCTTTGTTTTGGACTTGCATTCTCTTTTTTGATCACATCGTCACAAGGTTATTGCTGGGGTATAATATACTTCTGGCTTTCAAATTAATGTTTTTCAGGGGCCAGTTGCTGCACTATTATATGCCTTTGTTGCTGTGGTTAACTATATTGCTGGTGGGAGTTCCAGGTTATCCCACCAAGGCAGGGTGACCCAAAAAGAAAAACAAAAGTTTCTCTTGTTAAATTTAGTAATGTATACAGGAGAAGGGGTTACTAGCCCTTTGCTCCCGGTATTTTAATTGCCTCTTATGACACGCATGGCTTACAGAGGAAGAATTCTGAAGACGAGCAATATTCTTTACAATTTAACACCCTACCATCTCCAGGTCTCTATACATATATGGTATTTGACTTATATATTCTGAATTCACATGTGAAAATCTTTGCTTTAGTTTGACCTGTAGGTCAAGTTGTGACCCAGGTTATGATGTTCCAAAGAAATACTTATAAGGACCTCAAAATAACCTAGGTCATAATTCTTGACCTATGTCAGACGAAGCTAAGATTGATAAACCATACCACGGGCGGGGATAGAACCCGCGATCAGAGTCTCAAAACTCCAGACTGTAGGTTCTATCCCCGCCTGTGGTATGGTTTGTTTGCAATAGTGTCATTACGATTTCGTGAGTCTAAGATTGATAACGTGGGTTCAGAGCATAGGATAAACTTGTATAGCAGCTAGCTTTTGAAATGGTTGGGTTTCAAACACTAGATGTCTTGTCCTGGGACACTAATTGTCTCTGCCTCATAATTTGATGTTATCTATTTTTGTTGGGCCTCTGGTTTCGGGCAATAAACTTGTAGACTTCTGTTCATGTTTAGCTGTACAGAACCTTCCTCACTTCAGTCTATCAACATTCTTGTGCAACTATTTCCTTGTTTTGCAAAGTTAGTCTCTGTGCATTAGACATACCAGATTCACTTTTGATTATTTCAATGGGTTCCATGTACCAGGCTGCAAGGAATGACTGATGAAGTGTTCACCATGTTTTGATAGATTGCCTGACTTATATTTTCGGCCATATTTTGCTAATCTCCTCCTCTATCCTCTGTGTAAGTGCAGTATTCAATGCTATGCCTAGCTTTGTATTGAAGGGTAAACCCTCCATTTCCTTGGATTGAATCTGATTACTTCCCACTTCCTAACTGCTGGATAACCCTTGCAAGTTTAGCATTCCCACTAAATATGACAGTAATACTTAAGCTGATAGGTAGTTGGTTGGTAGACAGCAGCCACCCAGGGAGGTACTGCCGCCCTGCTAAGTGAGCGTGAAACGGAGACCTGTAATTGTTTTACATGATAAGATTGCTGGTGCCTTTTTTCTGTCTCGTAAACACATGGGATACCAGGTATAACTTGCTACTTCTACATACACTTAGGTCACACTACACTTGCATGTACAAGCATATATAGATACTAGTTCTGTTTATCTCCATGGGGAAGTGGAACAGAATTCTTCCTCTGTAAGCCATGTGTGTCGTAAGAGGCAACTAAAATACCGAGAGCAATGGGGCTCGTAACCCCTTCTCCTGTATATATTACTAAATGTAAAAGGAGAAACTTTTGTTTTTCCTTTTGGGCCACCCTGCCTCGGTGGGATACAGCCAGTGTGTTGAAAAAAGAAGAAAATCTTGCATTTTTCTTTTTTAGTCACTCTGCCTTGGTGGGATGTGACTGGTTTGTTGAAAGAAAAAAACTTAAGACTGATTTGTTTCATTCTTGTCCTGTGTTCCTTCTTCTGTGATGTAAATAGTTTAGAAAACTGACAAGTTGAAAAATAAGAGACTTGGGCAACATTTAGGATTCTTTATTGAGGAAATGTTTCACCAGCCAGCGGCTTCTTCAGTCCAATACAGAGAAGAACGATGGAAGATGAGGAGGAGTTTGAGGGACTGATTACCTCAAACTCCTCACCTTCCACCATTCTTCTCTGTATTTTACTGAAGAAGCCGCTGGCTAACAAAACATTTCCTCAATAAAAATTCTCAAATATTGCATAAGTCTCTCATAATTGCTGATCTTCTATTCTCCATGTGTAAATCCCTCTGCCATGCACATCTGAATGACCTTCACGAATTAAATGATTTTCTTTGTTATTATTTTACACTTCAGTCTGGACCTGTGTTTACATTTGGGAGAAAGTCCTTTTGCATACCAAGATCCTTAACTGCTGGAACTTGCTTCAAGCTTGGTAGTTTTGGAACAGATATGTGTGACTTGTGCCTGCATCTTACATGTGTGTAGAAGTGTAACTTCACTTCCAATGCCTCTCTGTGTCCTTCTCTCTGACAGTCAAACCTTGTCAGTTTGCTACGTCAACTGTGACCCTCAGCATATCCATATATTTCTTAATTGACGCCAATTTGGTACATCAACTGTGACTCTCAACATATCCATCTCTCACCATCTTTCACCTCTACAGCACTGAGTAAGCCCTTTCTCTCTCTCCATATATATAATAATTTACATGTACAACACATGCATTATTGTTTAATATAGTGGATCCCCGGTTAACGAACTTTTTTCATTCCAGTAGTATGTTCAGGTGCCAGTACTGACCGAATTTTTCCCCATAAGGAATATTGTGAAGTAGATTAGTCCATTTCAGACCCCCAAACATACACCTACAAACGCACTTACATAAATACACTTACATAATTGGTCGCATTTGGAGGTGATCGTTATGCGGGGGTCCACTGTATACCATACAAGTTGTGTCTTTTTCATGGGATTTTTTTTTTTTTAACAGCAGCATGGTGATCCAAAAATGAAATAAGAGTTTTTCTTTAATTTACATTTAGTTATTTATAGAGGAGAAGGGGTCACTAGCTCCTTGCTGTCCGTAGATTTTTTTTAAACAAACCAGCTGTATCCCACCAAGGGAAGGTAACCTGAAAGAAAAATCAAAGTTTTGTTTTTTAAATTTAGTAATTTATACAGCGGAAAGGTTTACTAGCACCTTGCTCCTGGTATTTTAGTCGCCTCTTATGACACGCATGGCTTACGGAGGAAGAATTTTGTTCCACTTCCCAATGGAGAGGAAATGAACAAGAACTAGTAAGAAAATAGAAGAAAACACAGACGGGGGTGTATATATGTGCATGTGTAATGTGACGTAAGTGTAAGTAGAAGTAGCAAGAGGTACCTGGAATCTTGTATGTTTAAGAGACAGAAAAAAGACACCAGCAATCCTACCATCATGTAAAACAATTAAAGGCTTCTGTTTCACACTCACTTGGTGGGACGGTAGTACCTCCCTGGGTAGTTGCTGTCTACCAACCAACTACGTCGGTTAATATTCAATATTTACAGAAAAAACACGTTTGTTTTCAGAATTGGCGGAAAGTTCCCAAGGAATTTCACCTGGATTACGACAAGTTAGAAGAGCGTCCTCACATACCCACCCCAGGCGGACTCATCCACACCCCAACTTCATCTAATCTGTGACCAGCCTCAACTTCTTGCCATGCCCAGTACCATCCTCCCGGAGGAGCCTTAGCCCAGTTTTTGTGGTGGAATCAAATTGCTATTTATTAACTATTTTGTAACAAAACTTCATTTATATAAACCAAAACATGAACTGTCCATTTAAATCTTCCAGTTGTCTTTATATACCTAATGTACAGTGGTTATTACAACAGGAGTTTTGATAAGCTAAATCTCACTTTGTTAACCATAAAGACTGGGCATTTGCACCCATAGAAAGCCACCACATTTTACAAGGAATGTTTGGGTATAATGCAGCTGAGAGCACAAGAGCAGCGGGAAGTAAGTGATACCCGGGGCACATTTATTGACAATGTACGTGAGAGTTTATTTTCTTTTATTATTTATTTATTTTTCTATTTTGAGATTGTAATCTATTTTAGCATATTGCTGAAGTAGCGATAGATTTCTATTGTGGCGCTCAGTGTTACGAAGATATGCTTATTTTAAAGCATTAAAATTATAGTATTTTATTTGAATAATATCCACATTTTGGTGGCTAGTGTGAGGCAAGTAGTGACGTGGGTGACCGAGGCCGTTACTGCTGTACCGTGGTTATGGGCTACTTAACAAATGTACAGACACTGTGTAATTGTGATGCAAGGAGCGTTGGGCACATTTAAAAGTGGCCATTACATTCAAGGAATGACTGACCCTCGAGACCTCGGGTCGTCTTAGTTCATCATTGAAGGTGTACTCGGGTTTGTGAATTTTGTTGTTCCGCCAAATTTAACTAGAGATTCAGTTGCCGTTTTTGTGCTCCTGGTCTGATTACAATTTACGGACGTAGTATTTTTTTCAATATTATTATTTTATTTTTTTACAGGAGTCGGTTTTTCCATGTCAGGTGGAGGAATAGCCTCAAAAATATTCATAGTATTTTATATCCATCGTAATGATTTGCCTTCCCTGGGAGGCCTACAGTCTACTATTTTTAATTGACATTTTTTCAACATAATAGAGTATATCAAAAATTTATTACTAAATGTTTAAATTTATTGGTACAATTACAAAGGTTTTTAAACCACAGGATAGGACATAACCGAGTTGGTTTTGAGATTGATATCTAAGTCATGTTATTTTCTCCATTTTTAAGTTCTAGTTTTTTAAATGGTGCACCGTCAGTGCATCACTCGGCAATCTAGTACTTAAAAACAAATCCTTTCTTCCATTATAAATCTAGACCAAATAACTCATTTCCAACTCAGATAGTTACATTGGATATAAAACCCAGAGTACCAGAAACTTCATAATGATGTCTGTTTCTTTCTGGTAACTGTGTTATGTTGTTGTAGCATTTAAGAGAACAATATACAGGGAAATAAAGTTACTAGCACTTACTGTATACACACACTAGTTAAAACTAGAATCTTAAGCTCCGTGCAGACGAAAATATGGCTGATAGTAAAGGGACGGGGAAATTGAACACTGTTTTCAAGTCCCTAACTAAGAAGTTTTGGATATATCCATTTTTTACAAAATTTGATAATCATTTTTAGACTAGTTTGAAGCCGTCTGAAGGCTCAACACATTATCACAATACAGTAATAATGAAGAGTACAAAACAAATCTCACTATACTAGAAAAAAACAGACTACTTATGGTGTGCAAATAATTTGTAATATGAGCCTATTCCTTGATGTTCTTTCTTGATGTATAATTATGTACACAGTCAATATTATTCTGTACTAAATAGATCTTGTTTTACAGTAACGGAGTTTCTTTTCTTATATAAACGGTAGGACAATACACTTGGTGAATTGTTTACAATCAATTTTAAGTATATTGATTTTATATTTTGTAATAAATGGAAATTTGATGAGTTGGCCTTGGTATCCAATAGTACTGTTGATAGAATGGATGATGAGTTTGGTCAGGAAATGGGATAAGTGGTTTCCTGATGCCGGTCTGTTATGTGGTGACCCGCTACTGGAGCTTTTGGTCATTGACCGAGGCCTTCCGCTCCACCACTTTAATGAATATACACTTCAGGTAGTGAAAAGTGGTTAGAAGAAACTTAAAGCAATGAGAAACCTTTATTACCATTGTGTTTCACCAGTATAACAGCGCTGCATGACCCTTGTTGGTTTAGCGCTTTCTTTGATTATAGTAATACACCAGTATAAGGCTTTATCAATATGATAGAAGTACAGTGGACCCCCGGTTAACGATATTTTTTCACTCCATAAGTATGTTCAGGTGCCAGTACTGACCGAATTTGTTTCCATAAGGAATATTGTGAAGTAGATTAGTCCATTTCAGACCCCCAAACATACACGTACAAACGCACTTACATAATTGGTCGCATTCGGAGGTGATCGTTATGCGAGGGTCCACTGTAATATTATATATTATCGTATTGGGTGAGGCTAAACTTGAGATGTATCATCTGGTGTAGGTGAAGTGACTTAGTCAGTATGGGGGTGCAGGCAACAGAGCCCTGGTAAGAACATAAGAACGAAGGAACACTGCAGAAGGCCTACTGACCCATGCGAGGCAGGTCCAAGTCTCCTACCGGCTTAAGCCAATGCACCCAACCTGGTCAGGTCAGGTCACATTGACTTAAGGGAGGAACACGGCAACCGACCTGGTAGCACAAGCTATCAGGTCCAACTCACACCCACCCACATCCACTCATGTATTTATCCAACCTATTTTTAAAGCTACACAACGTTCTGGCCTCTATAACTGTACTCGGGAGTTTGTTCCACTCATCCACAACTCTATTACCAAACCAGTACTTTCCTATATCCTTCCTGAATCTGAATTTTTCCAACTTAAAACCATTGCTGCGAGTCCTGTCTAGGCTAGATATTTTCAGCACACTATTTACATCCCCTTTATTTATTCCTGTCTTCCATTTATACACCTCAATCATATCCCCCCTAATTCTACGTCTTTCTAGAGAGTGCAGATTCAGGGCCCTTAGTCTATCCTCATAGGGAAGGTTTCTGATACATGGGATCAACTTTGTCATCCTCCTTTGTACATTTTCCAGAGAATTTATATCCATTCTGTAATACGGTGACCAAAACTGTGCAGCATAATCTAAATGAGGCCTAACCAAGGATGTATAGAGTTGAAGAACAACCTGAGGACTCCTATTATTTATGCTTCTTGATATGAAGCCAAGGATTCTATTAGCTTTATTGCGAACACTTATGCACTGTTGTCTTGGTTTCAGATTACTGCTAACCAGAACTCCTAAATCTTTTTCGCAATCCGTAATATTAAGATCTACATTATTTAGTTTATATGTGGCATGGTTATTATCCTGTCCAACATTTAGAACTTTGCATTTGTCTATATTAAACTGCATCTGCCACTTCTCCGACCACTGCATCAGTCTATTCAAATCTTCCTGGAGTGCTCGAATGTCCTCATCAGAATGAATTCGACGGCCTATTTTGGTGTCATCGGCAAACTTGCCGATGTCGCTCTTTATGCCCTCATCTATGTCGTTTATGTAGATTGTGAACAGCAGGGGGCCCAACACTGACCCCTGTGGAACACCGCTCGTGACGCTTCCCCACTCTGATTTCTCCCCATTTATGCAAACTCTCTGCTGCCTTTTTGTCAACCATGCCTCTATCCAGGAAAAAATTTCCTCCCTATTCCATGTGCTTTAATTTTCCTCAATAGTCTCTGATGTGGGACCCTGTCAAAAGCCTTACTGAAGTCCATATACACAATATCATATTCATTACCATGATCTACCTCCTCAAATACCTTAGTGAAAAAAGTTAATAAATTCATAAGGCAGGAACGCCCCTTTGTAAAACCATGCTGAGATTCGTTGATTAATTTATGCTTTTCAAGGTGGCTACGAACTGCCTCGGCAATTATTGATTCCATAAATTTTCCCACTATGGAGGTTAGGCTTATTGGTCTATAGTTCGAAGCTAAGGACCTGTCACCTGTTTTGAAAATAGGTATCACATTTGCCATTTTCCACTTATCTGGCACCATGCCAGTTTGTAGTGATATGTTGAAAAGATTAGCCAAAGGTGTGCTAAGCTCCTCTTTACATTCCTTTAGAACCCTTGCATACAGTTCATCAGGGCCTGGGGATTTGTTAGGTTTTAATTTATCTATTTGCCTAAGGACCATGTCACTTGTGACCCTAATCGTGCACAGTTTATTATCGTCCTGTTCTACATAATTTATCATTACTGGAATATCGCTGGTATCCTCCTGTGTAAAAACTGAGAGGAAGTATGTGTTAAAAATTCTACACATTTCCTTATCACTGTCAGTGAGCTGACCCGAGGAACTTTTGAGTGGGCCTATCTTGTCCCTGATCTTACTTCTGTATACCTGAAAGAATCCTTTTGGGTTAGTCTTCGATTCTCTTGCAACTTTAACCTCTTTTTGCTTTTCTAATTCCCTTTTTTATTTCTGTCTTTAACTGAATATATTGATTTCTTAATTGCCCCTCTCCTCTTTTGATTTGCCTATATATGCCTCTCTTTTGACCAATCAGATATTTTAATCTATTGTTCATCCATTTAGGATCATTTTTGTTTGATCTGATTTCCCTATTTGGAACATAATTTGACTGAGCAGCTAGAACTATGCCCTGGAAAGCATCATATCGGCAACCATCACCACCTACCTGACCCTTAGTCAGGTCATTCCAGTTCAGCCCACCTAAGTAATTTTTCAGTCCTATGAAATCAGCCAAGCGAAAGTCAGGGACGGAGACTTGATTGCCATTATTAAGGGAATTCCATGATATATTAAAACTGAGTGATTTGTGATCACTTTCCCCAAGGTCATCATTAACCTCAAGATTATTAATTAGTGTTTCCCTACTGGCAAGAACCAAGTCAAGGAGGTTATTTCCCCTAGTTGGCTCTGTCACAAACTGTTTTAAAAAACAATCCTGGATCGTATCAAGAAAGTCACCTGACTCTAAATTTCCTGTCAAATTGCTCCAGTCAATCTGTCTATAGTTGAAATCTCCCATTAGCACAACATTTTCGTATGTAGATGCCTTACGAATTTCGTCCCATAGAAGTTTACTGCACTCCCTATCAAGATTTGGGGCCCTGTAAATCACACCCAAAATTAGTTTTTCTCGGCCCTCGAGAAGCTGTAACCAAACAGATTCAGTGGCTGACGCTTCTAATTTAATATCTTGTCTAACACAACAATTTAAATTGTCTCTGACATACATCGCTACTCCACCACCATTCCTGTTGACCCTGTCAGTGTGGAATAATTTATAGCCTTGTATGTGACATTCAGAGGGCATCTCTCTATCTTTCAGATTGAGCCAGGTCTCTGTTATAGCAATAATATCTATGTTTCCTGCACTTGCAATTAATCTTAGCTCATCTATCTTATTTCTTACACTCCTGCTATTAGTATAGTAAACCTTAAGGGAGCTAGTCCCTTGCTGCCCTCTGCTGTCCCCCTTTGTTTGCTGACCTGATCTATTGTCTTTATTTATAACTTCATGCTGAATGCCTTTTATACATTTACTGTTTCCAACCCTAGTGTTGCAACCTGCTTGTTTCCCACACACACCCATACCTCTATCTTCCATCAGTTTAAAATCATAGGCATTTCACCAATGGCCTTCTCAATCGAGTCTGCAAGTGCTACCACCCCAGCCCCAGAGAGATGTACCCCATCCCTTGCATACATATCATGTTTGCCATAAAAGTTGTTCCAGTTGTCAATGAATGGGATTGCAAGTTCCTTGCAGTATCTGTCTAGCCAGCAATTTACACCAATTGCCCTAGACAACCATTCATTTCCTACTCCCCTTCTAGGCAAGATGCTACATATGATTGGGATCCCTCCCTTAGACTTAATGAAATCTATAGCTGACCTGTACTTATCTAGCAGCTCTTCTCTCCTACCTTCCCAATATCATTTCCACCAGCACTGAGACAGATAATGGGCTTGTTCCCATTACCTGACATGATATTATCCAGCCTGTTGACAATGTCCCCAACACCAGCTCCAGGGAAGCACACTCTATCTCTCATCTTCTTATTCCTATTACAAAAAGTACAGTCAATATATCTTACCTGAGAGTCACCAACCACGAAGAATGCGCTTACCTCCATTAGCAGGGGCAGTAGTACCCTTACCTTCACTGGCCACTGAAGTACATTCATCCTGGAGAACAGAGAAGCGATTTCCTACCTTCAGATCTTCACTCTTAACTTTCCTTACTCTGATGCGCCTCCCATTACTGTGAACCACTCGCCACTTGTAGCAGGTGCTGGGCTGCACCTCACTGCTGGTAGCCGTTGCTATCTCCCCAACTACAGCCTCCTCACAGCGAGAGACAGACTGCACCTCACTGCTAGAAGTCTCATTCCCCACAACTCCAGCCACCTCACACTCTTTCCCAGACCCATTGAGGTGGACCTTCAGCCTCCTAATCTCCTCCTGGAGAAGCAAGACCTCCTCCTTCAACTCTCCAACCTCAATTTTTAAAACACTGCAGAAGCAAGCCATGCTTTGTAACCGTCCACGCTAATCCCCAAAGCAGCTCAGGGTCTGTGACCTCACGTGACGACTGACGATCAAAGGGATTTACCTTTGATCACATCTGGTAATTTATGTTTCAGAAGTTTTCAGTTAATGTACTTGGCCTCTGTTCAGTGATGTATAATTGTATCTGCTGATTCAAGACATAATCACTTCTCTCTCTGCTGTTTACCTGGTACAAGAAATGTGTTTGCATGTATCGTTCATCCTACTGGCATGTGTGTTCTTGTAGTTGGTTATCTAAGTGCCATGATGTTTGAAGTGATTGTATACATGTACAATGAGTGTTTTTAGCAATGTAAGAAGTTCCGGTGATTTCTTCAATAGTTTTTGTGTTAAAGATGGTACTGGAGCAGCAGTAGGACAGAGGTGATAGAAGTTACTCTTTGTTCGGGGATTTAAAAATGGAGTACAGTGGACCCCTGCATAATGATCACCTCCCAATGCGACCAATTATTTAAGTGTGTGTATGGGGGTCTGAAATGGACTAATCTACTTCACAATATTCCTCATGGGAACAAATTCGGTCAGTACTGGCACCTGAACATACTTCTGGAATGAAAAAATATCGTTAACCGGGGGTCCACTGTACTTGATAATGTGGTTTGTTCAAGTATGTCCATTGTTGCAGTTCCTGAAGATGACATAGAAGAGTGACATGAAAATAGGTATTTTTCTGAGTCATGATAAGAGAAGTACTGGATCGTGTCATTATTCCTGATAAAAAGTAGGAAATCGTTCATTTCCTCTTCCAAAGTGAAATGTATACAAGGTTTCACTTGATTAAATTATTCCATAATGGTTGAAATATCTTGGTTATACTACCCAGATATATATCTTAGAGCAAGATGATGATGATATTATTATAATCAAGGGGGAAGCGCTAAACCCGGAGGATTATACAGCGCCTGGGGGGAGGGGAAGAGATGTGGAAGGCATTCAGGCTTCGGGGAACTGGAGCACAGATCCAATTCCCTAAATCAAGAGCCCCTCACCAACATCAAGGAACCTTCCTTGAGGGGAGCAAGATGATAGATCAGTTCACTATCATCTGTCTCTTAAGATAAATATATCTGGGTAGTATAACCAAGATATTTCAACCATTATGGAATAACTTAATCAAGTGAAACCTTGTATACATTTCACTTTGGAAGAGGAAATGAATGATTTCCTACTTTTTATCAGGAATAATGACACGATCCAGTACTTCTCTTATCGTGACTCAGAAAAATACCTATTTTCATGTCTCTCTTCTATGTCATCTTCAGGAACTGCAACAATGGACATACTTGAACAAACCACATTATCAAGTACAGTGGACCCCCGGTTAACGATATTTTTTCATTCCAGAAGTATGTTCAGGTGCCAGTACTGACTGAATTTGTTCCCATAAGGAATATTGTGAAGTAGATTAGTCCATTTCAGACCCCCAAACATACACTTACATAATTGGTCGCATTGGGAGGTGATCATTATGCGGGGGTCCACTGTACTCCATTTTTAAATCCCCGAACAAAGAGTAACTTCTATCACCTCTGTCCTACTGCTGCTCCAGTATCATCTTTAACACAAAAACTATTGAAGAAATCACCGGAACTCCCTACACGGGTATACAGGTCTCCCTCAACATTCACGGGCTTCACACATTCGCGAATTCCCAACCGCCAAATCATATTTAAGTTTCCCGCCACCTGCGAGTCCCTACTACCCTCCCTCCGACCCCCGCAACTGGCAGCCAGCCCTCCCACCACTCGGTGTGGTGAGTGTTTTGTTTGTTCATTATTTGCTGTTAAACTACAGAATAAATAATGTAAACCCATTCATGACTGCATATTGGAATGGCTATTAGGAAAGGTATTAGGCGGTGACATCATGTGTTTACTCTTGAACGCAGCAAAGAATCGAACATTTCTGCTACAGCTAATAATAACAATAGTAATAATAAATATGATATAATTGAAGAAGGAAATTGTACAAAAATACGAGGGAGTGGTTGACACATCGTCAGTGTGACTTTGTTTATGCTGGAGTGAACATTAGTCTCCCTGCTCTTCCAAACATTTCACAATAATTCAGCGGTATTTAATAACATATATGTTATAAATAATAATAGTACATGTTATTATTAATAACATATACTGTATGTTATAAATAATAATAGTACATATTATTATTAAGATGTATGTTATTAAATACCATTGCCTCAATCACTCCAGTCACACTCAATCTACAAGCACCAAACACAATGAATTATTGTGAAATGTTTGGAAGAGCAGGGAGACTAATGTTCACTCCAGCATAAACAAAGTCACACTGACGATGTGTCAACCACTCCCTCGTATTTTTGTACAATTTCCTTCTTCAATTATATCGTATTTATTATTACTATTGTTATTATTAGCTGTAGCAGAAATGTTTAATTCTTTGCAGTGTTCAAGAGTAAACACATGATGTCACCGTCTAATACCTTTCCTAATAGCCATTCCAATATGCAGTCATGAATGGGTTGACATTATTTATACTGTAGTTTAATAGCAAATAATGAACAAACAAAACACTCACCACACTGAGTGGTGGGGGTAGTAGGGACTCGCAGTGGTATTTAATAACATACATGTTATTAAAGCATAACATGTATATATTTAGTACAATTTACGACGTTTTCATGATTATTCATGGTTCAACAAGTTAAGGAAGCAGTATTATAATATATTGGGGCACCAAACATTCACGAGGCTCTTGATCCCCTAACCCTCGTGAATGTTGAGGGAGACCTGTACAATGTGGTGGTTGCAATCACTTGTATATACATTCCTGGAGTGGGTTAAGATCATGGCACTTAGATACCCGACTACAAGAAAACATTTGCCAGTAGGATGACCGACACGTCTTGTACCAGGTAACCATCAATAATGTTATGGCTTGAATCAGTGGTTACACCTGATCAGACATCTTAAATTCAAAGCATTATATATAGGAAACATTTCACGAGCCTAATGCAGAGAATTTATAAAAAAAAATATATAGTAGGCAAGGACAGATCCTGAGCCAGGGGATAACTATATTCTTTCAAAGAATTAGTTGGGCAAGTATTTAAATAATCGTAAAACTGCCTTTATTTCGAGCAGATTGTAGATAAATAAATAAATAATTCTTCTTAACATTCATAGACAACTCATGAACTTCTAAAATGCCAGACTTGACATGAAGGAGTTTGGTCGTTGCTATCAACACCACTGATGTGGGTTTAGAACTTCGTTACAAACATCATTGTTCAAAACAAAGGCAGTTATATGATTTTAATAATACTTGTCCTACCCCAAGAATACAGCCATCATTACCTTCAGCATCCAAACTCACCCCAGTATATACAGTTTCCATCCTCTACACTAGAGGTCACAGTTTTGGCAAAACTTTCCAGGTTAATGCACCTCTATTATGTGCAATCCAAATGAAATTATTTCACCATGACTACAGTGGATCATAACAGATAATTCTGTTAATAAACTTCATTATCTAGATTTCATCCATTAGATCCAAAATATGAAGATAATGTCAATTCTCTCCTTTCCACTGACATTCAGTGCCTTCTAGCACTGAATGACCCTTTTGGGCTTAGTGCATCTTATAAATATTTCTGCAGCACCAAATGACCCATATGGGTTTGGCAATTTTTGACTATAACAGTGCTTATTGTTTGAACAGAGTATATTAGAGTAACCTCTTACTTGATAGTGGTTCACTAATATATATTATTATTGAGCCCAAGTTACCTGAGCTACCTTACCCTTCTATCACACCACTATCTTTCCTGACACTTATATGACCTGCAGATAAATGGTACAAAACACTGACAGTGGAAAAAAATAGATGGTGTAAAATAATATATATTTATTGACGGCATAAACATTTATTCATTTACATTTCAATACTGTTATATTAATTATTGACTTAAATAATGATTACAATCATATTTTAAACTTATAATAGGGTTACATTCTGAGGAACCCATCATAAGTCAAGAAGTAACTGTACAGTGTAATGGGATATTATTCTCATTATTTTAAAAATCTCATTGCACTGTATGAGTTGAATAGAGGCAATGGTTTTTATGACTTAATATGCTGTTGGAGTGTAAGCAGAGTTAGCTGGACTAGAGTCCTGGAAGTGGGAAGTACAATGCCTCCACTGTGAAGGATGAGTGGAGATATGTTTCAATTTTTTTATAACTATTATAGGTATGCCTCTGGCAAGACAGTGGAGTGAATGATGATGCAATTATTTCATCTTTGAGTCGCTCTGCCTCAGTGGGAAACAAGTTTCAATATATTATTCTCCATTTAGCTGGTTGATCGCAGTTGCTCTTCTTCCCACACAGTCTATTGAAGGTTCTTCTCTCCTCAAAACCCAAAATTTCACGCTCTTCTTGGATACGAAACGAGAATGTAGATTCATACGAGCCGGTGAACAACCTGGTGAGAAGAAGTATAGAATATTAACACTTTAAATAAAAGTCTTGAAATTAAGATGCTACATATTATAATGAAAACTAAACACTAATCCACCAGGTCCCTTATACCACTATCGGCTATGCTACATATCATTGTCAACACTTATTACTATCATTATAACATTACCAACACTGTCTTATAATGCCTCACTATATTTTTATTACAACACTATCATTATATCACTCACTAGAATTCTTAGATCACTATATTTCATTAAATTTCACTATTAAAATAAAATCACCCCATAAAACACAGGTGAGTTAGATTACTTAAGTGTTAATATTTCTTAAAAGTGAAAATTATCATCAGGTCGTGTTGATAGTGTACACGTGAGTTTACTCTCGGATCAACACTTGAAGGTATACCCACAGAAATGGCTACTATGCAAGAGGATATAGAGTACTTAGGAACATATCATCCCCTATTTCAGCAAACTCGTTACCTGTACACAGATGATGTTAAAACCATCCTCAGCAAAACTCCTCGACCATTTGGAAAATGCTGTACTATGACTGACGTTAAGTACTTGTTCACAAAGCCTGGATTAAAACCAGGTCAAGGTATGGTATTGACTATCGTCAACCCTGGGATTGATGGTCATGCTGTGGGTTTATATCGATGTATGGATGGAATCTTGCTTTATTATGATTCCACGAATCGCATCCCACCTTCTGAATTTTGCATGTATCTTTTACACAACTGTTTCCCAACAGACTTCAAGATTGTTGACCTTGCCAAACAAGGCAACGTGGACTCCTGCGCCTACCATGCCATAACATTCCTGGATATTGTTACCAGTTGTAACCTACATGACCACGAAGATGTTCTTTTATACTACAACATGACAATGGGGAAATTTCCAGACCTCACAGCCGTACTTCGTGTGTATGCAATTGTAAGAGAGTTTCAGAGCGACATCCTTTTATACACTAACGGAAGTGACACACTGCTGGAACCTGATATCAAACTCTCTTCAAGGCTTGATATAATTCATAGAAAAAAACAGCGGAAACTGAAGCGCTTAAAAGTACAAGGAATTTATTGTAGCGAGATCAAGAAAAAATCTCGAAAACAATCAAGATTTGAAAAGAGGGCATACTGAACTATAAGAACCAGCTTCTACCAACACTGACGAACATGAGGAACCAGCCCCTTCCAACACTAAACGAACCAGGTCCTATCGACAATGAACTGACTGGGGGTATGGTAAGTTACTGGAAGAGCAGACCATGACTGCAACAATACGATGACTGGTAGTGGTAGTAGAAAGAGTAGTGGTGCCAAGACTGGTAGGGAGAGTAGTTAGTGGCACCAAAAGAGAAAGGGGAGTGAAGAGTGGCAGTAGTAGAGGAATGTAGGGGAAGACATCATAGTAGTAATAGGGGTCAGTTTAAACACAACAAAAAGTAGCACTGCAGAAGAGCCACTGGCCCACAAGAGGCAGGACCAACAACACTGTACGTAAACTGACGCACACAACACACTTGGCCAGAAGAAAGGAAGACAATGAAAGAAGAGAGTAGAGAAAGGAGAAGAAACGATCAGGTCAAGTCACAAGTGTTCTAAAGTATGGAGTATTAATTTTTTTTTTCAACGAACCGGCCGTATCCCACCAAGGCAGGGTGGCCCAAAAGGAAAAACTTAAGTTTCTCTTTTTAAATTTAGTAATTTATATGGGAGAAGGGGTTACTAGCCCCTTGCTCCCAGCATTTTAGTCACCTCTTACAACACGCATGGCTTATGGAGGAAGAATTCTGTTCCACTTCCCCATGGAGATAAGAGGAAATAAACAAGAACTAGAAAGAAAATAGAAGAAAACCCAGAGGGGTGTGTATATATATGCTTGTACATGTATGTGTAGTGTGACCTAAGTGTAAGTAGAAGTAGCAAGACGTACCTGAAATCTTACATGTTTATGAGACAGAAAAAAGGAGACCAGCAATCCTACCATCATGTAAAACAATTACAGGCTTTCGTTTTACACTCACTTGGCAGGACGGTAGTACCTCCCTGGGTGGTTGTTGTCTACCAACCTACTACCTAGATGGAGTATTACTAATAAAATTTAAAAGGAAGGCATCTACAGGGCTAAGATTTGTACAAGGAAAGTTGCATATATGGGAAGCTTCAACAAGATGGCAACTGTGAAAGCTACAAGTAGGGTAGACAGTTATAAGAGAGGACCAGTTAATAAGACGACTGTGATCCCTAACATAAAAAAGATTTATTGATGTCTGCAAGATTAACTCTTCTTTCAGCCTGTCAGAACGAGCCCAGTTTCTCCAAGGTATTACAGAGGACACAAGGATCATGGGATAGACACCAGCACTTCAAGTATCATCACTACTGACACTAATTATCACTATCTTTCATAACACCACCATCACTACCTTTCATAACATCACTATCACTACCTTTCATAACATCACCTTCCATTACATCACTCTCATCAGTGTCACTAATTTTCATAACATCACTATCATTACAACATTACCAACACTGTCTTATAATGCCTCACTATATTTTTATTACAACACTCATTAGAATTCTTAGATCACTATATTTCATTAAATTTCACTATTAAAATAAAATCACCCCATAAAACACAGCTGAGTTAGATTACTTAAGTGTTAATATTTCTTAAAAGTGAAAATTATCATCAGGTCGTGTTGATAGTGTACACGTGAGTTTACTCTCGGATCAACACTTGAAGGTATACCCAGAGAAATGGCTACTATGCAAGAGGATATAGAGTACTTAGGAACGTATCATCCCCTATTTCAGCAAACTCATTACTTGTACACAGATGATGTTAAAACTATCCTCAGCAAAACTCCTCGACCATTTGGAAAATGTTGTACTATGACTGACGTTAAGTACTTGTTCACAAAGCCTGGATTAAAACCAGGTCAAGGTATGGTATTGACTATCGTCAACCCTGGGATTGATGGTCATGCGGTGGCTTTATATCGATGTATGGATGGAATCTTGCTTTATTATGATTCCACAAATCGCATCCCACCTTCTGAATTTTGCATGTATCTTTTACACAACTGTTTCCCAACAGATTTCAAGATTGTTGACCTTGCCAAACAAGGCAACGTGGACTCCTGCGCCTACCATGCCATAACATTCCTGGATATTGTTACCAGTTGTAACCTACATGACCACGAAGATGTTCTTTTATACTACAACATGACAATGGGGAAATTTCCAGACCTCACAGCCGTACTTCGTGTGTATGCAATTGTAAGAGAGTTTCAGAGCGACATCGTTTTATACACTAACGGAAGTGACACACTGCTGGAACCTGACACTAAACTCTCTTCAAGGCTTGATATAATTCATAGAAAAAAACAGCGGAAACTGAAGCGCTTAAAAGCACAAGGAATTTATTGTAGCGAGATCAAGAAAAAATCTCGAAAACAATCAAGATTTGAAAAGAGGGCATACTGAACTATAAGAACCAGCTTCTACCAACACTGAAGAACACGAGGAACCAGCCCCTTCCAACACTAAAAGACTAAACGAACCAGGTCCTATCGACAATGAACTGACTGAGGGTATGGTATGTTATTGGAAGAAGAGCAGACCAGGAACTGACTGGGGGTATGTTATGTTACGAGAAGAAGAGCAGACCAGGGGTATGTTATGTTATTGGAAGAAGAGCAGACCAGGAACTGACTGGGGGTATGTTATGTTACGGGAAGAAGAGCAGACCAGGAACTGACTGAGGGTATGGTATGTTATTGGAAGAAGAGCAGACCAGGAACTGACTGGGGGTATGTTATGTTACGGGAAGAAGAGCAGACCAGGAACTGACTGGGGGTATGTTATGTTACGGGAAGAAGAGCAGACCAGGAACTGACTGGGGGTATGTTATGTTACGGGAAGAAGAGCAGACCAGAAACTGACTGGGGGTATGTTATGTTACTGGAAGAAGAGCAGACCAGGAACTGACTGAACATAAGAAAGGAGGAACACTGCAGCAGGCCTGTTGGCCCATACTAGGCAGGTCCTTTACAATTCATCCCACTAACAAACATTTGACCAACCCAATTTTCAATGCCACCCAAGAAATAAGCTCTGATGTGCAAGTCCCACTCAAATCCAACCCCTCCCACTCATGTACTTATCCAACCTAAATTTGAAACTACCCAAAGTCCTAGCCTCAATAACCCAACTAGGTAGACTGTTCCACTCATCAACTACCCTATTTCCAAACCAATACTTTCCTATGTCCTTTCTAAATCTAAACTTATCTAATTTAAATCCATTACTGCGGGTTCTCTCTTGGAGAGATATCCTCAAGACCTTGTTAATATCCCCTTTATTAATACCTATCTTCCACTTATACACTTCGATCAGGTCTCCCCTCATTCTTCGTCTAACAAGTGAATGTAACTTAAGAGTCTTCAATCTTTCTTCATAAGGAAGATTTCTAATGCTATGTATCAATTTAGTCATCCTACGCTGAATGTTTTCTAACGAATTTATGTCCATTCTGTAATATGGAGACCAGAATTGAGCTGCATAATCTAGGTGAGGCCTTACTAATGATGTATAAAGCTGCAGTATGACCTCTGGACTTCTGTTGCTTACACTTCTTGATATAAATCCCAGTAATCTATTTGCCTTATTACGTACGCTTAGGCATTTCGCAATCTGTATGGCTAAGTTCTACATTATTTAACTTATAAGTGCAAGGGTTATGGACACTCCCGAGCTTCAGAACCTTGCATTTATCTACATTGAACTGCATCTGCCACTTTTCTGACCAAGAGTAGAGTTTGTCTAAATCCTCCTGAAGTTCCCTAACATCTACGTTTGAATCAATTATCCTACCTATCTTCGTGTCATCGGCGAATCTGCTCATATCACTAGTAATTCCTTCATCAAGATCATTGGTATATATTATAAACAACGGGCCCAAGACTGATCCCTGTGGAACGCCACTTGTTACTGATAGGAGGGTATGGTATGTTATTGGAAGAAGAGCAGACCAGGAACTGAGGGAATGGTATGTTACTGGAAGAAGAGCAGACCAGGAACTGACTGAGGGTATGGAGGTTATAGTATGTTATTGGAAGAAGAGCAGACCAGGAACTGAGGGAATGGTATGTTACTGGAAGAAGAGCAGACCAGGAACTGACTGAGGGTATGGAGGTTATAGTATGTTACTGGAAGAAGAGCAGACCAGGAACTGAGGGAATGGTATGTTACTGGAAGAAGAGCAGACCAGGAACTGACTGAGGGTATGGAGGTTATAGTATGTTACTGGAAGAAGAGCAGACCAGGAACTGAGGGAATGGTATGTTACTGGAAGAAGAGCAGACCAGGAACTGAGGGAATGGTATGTTACTGGAAGAAGAGCAGACCAGGAACTAACTGAGGGTATGGAGGTTATAGTATGTTACTGGAAGAAGAGCAGCCTAGGGACTGATGGAGGTTATAGTATGTTACTGGAAGAAGAGCAGCCTAGGGACTGATGGAGGTTATAGTATGTTACTGGAAGAAGAGCAGCCTAGGGACTGATGGAGGTTATAGTATGTTACTGGAAGAAGAGCAGCCTAGGAACTGATGGAGGTTATAGTATGTTACTGGAAGAAGAGCAGCCTAGGGACTGATGGAGGTTATAGTATGTTACTGGAAGAAGAGCAGCCTAGGGACTGATGGAGGTTATAGTATGTTACTGGAAGAAGAGCAGCCTAGGAACTGATGGAGGTTATAGTATGTTACTGGAAGAAGAGCAGCCTAGGAACTGATGGAGGTTATAGTATGTTACTGGAAGAAGAGCAGACCAGGAACTGAGGGTATGGAGGTTATAGTATGTTACTGGAAGAAGAGCAGACCAGGAACTAACTGAGGGCACTGAGGTTATAGTATGTTACTGGAAGAAGAGCAGCCTAGGGACTGATGGAGGTTATAGTATGTTACTGGAAGAAGAGCAGCCTAGGGACTGATGGAGGTTATAGTATGTTACTGGAAGAAGAGCAGCCTAGGGACTGATGGAGGTTATAGTATGTTACTGGAAGAAGAGCAGACCAGGTATGACACTTGTAGGGTTAGCACGTCTTTTTGATTATAATAATAACAGTGATGGTATTATGGGTTAATGTTACAATACTGACAAGTTAATGAATAAGATTTATCCTACTGTTTCCAATGTTATATTTACCTGAAGTTTACTGAAGAAGACAGAACTCTGGGTGAAATATTTTGGCAGTTCAGATGCCCATGTGTATGTTGTGTGAATGGAGTCATTGGGCATTTGGAATCTGAAGTGTTGGTAGTGGTGATTATTGAAGTGTTGATAGTAACAATTTTAAAAAATTATTGTTCAATTACCAGCACTTCAATTATCATTACTATATAAATTTAGTAATTTATACAGAAATAACTTAGTAATTCATACAGAAGGGGTTACTAGCTCCTTTTCCTCGGCACTTCAGTAGCCTCTTATGACACTCCTGGCTTACGGAGGAAGAATTCTGTTCCACTTTCCCATGCAAGTGAAAGATCTGTTACATGTACATGTATATGGAAAAACTGTCGTCACGTGAGCAAAACATTAAACGAGTGTAGTCGTAAAAAGGTTAAACTAACCTGGCATGAGTACAGATGATTTGATCTACTATCGCAACGCCACCGTCACCCCACTTGTGCAAGAAGTCTGTGCTGGGCTTGTAGTGCACAACTTTATACCCAGGTAGAAGGGACTCAAGCTCTTGTAATTCTGTTACAGAAGACAAGTGTCAGTTAAAACACTCACATACTCAACATACAGCCTCTCCTTACTTAACGACGGAGTTCCATTTCTAAGACCACATCAGTAAACAAATTTGTCGCTAAGGAAGGAGCACACTATAATGGTAGTGGGTTTGTGTCAACCATCTTTGATATTCCACCATTTATAACATTTTTAAACATATACAGGTCTCCCTCAACATTCGCGGGCTTCACACATTTGCGAATGCCTAACTCCCAAATTCCCAACCGCCAAATTCCCAGGTGCCAAATCATATTTAAGTTTCCCGCCACCCGCGAGTCCTTATTACCCTCCCTCTGACCCCCGCAACTGGCAGCCAGCCCTCCCACCACTCAGTGTGGTGAGTGTTTTGTTTGTTCATTATTTGCTATTAAACTACAGTATAAATAATGTCAACCCATTCATGACTGCATATTGGAATGGCCATTCGGACAGGTATTGAACAGTGACATCATATGTTTACTCTTGAACATAGCAAAGAATCAAACATTTCTGTTACTGCTAATAATAATAATATAGACTTGAAGAAGGAAATTGTAGAAAAATATGAGGGTTGAAGCAGTGGTTGAGGCATCGTCAGTCAGTGTGGTCTTTTTTATGCTGGAGTGAGTAGTAGTCTCTGTGCTCTTCCAAACATTTCACAATAATTCATTGTGTTTGGTGCTTGTAGATTGAGTGCGACTGCAGTGGTAGAGTCTGTGGTTGAGGCAGTGGTTGCGGCAGTGCTTGAGGCAGTGGTATTTAATAACATTTATGTTATTAATGATAATAATACATATTATTAATAACATTTATTATTATTATTAACATGTTATTAAATACCACTGCAGTCGCACTCAGTCTACAAGCACCAAACACAATGAATTATTGTGAAATGTTTGGAAGAGCGCAGAGGCTAATGCTCACTCCCGCATAAACAAAGCCACACTGACGATGCCTCAGCCACTGCTTCAACCCTGGTATTTTTGTACAATTTCCTTCTTTAATTATATCGTATTAATAATAATAATAAATTGAGAAACACAATAGAATTGAAGAAAGAAATTGTACCAAAATATGAGCAGTGCGCCACAGTGGTTGAGGCAGTAGTATTTAATACCATACATGTTATTAAACCATAACATGTATGTATTTAGTACATTTTATGATGTTTTCATGTATTTTATGATTGTTCATGGTTCAACAAGTTAAGGAAGCAGTATTGTACTGTATTTCCCTACAATATATTGGGGCACCAAACATTCACAATTTTTCAACATTCGCAAGGATCTTGATCCCCTAAGCCTCGCGAATGTTGAGGGAGACCTGTATTGTAATATACAGAATAGAGGAAATCAGCTCTAATATACATTATTTATGTATGCATGCTGGTCAGAAAGCCCGTCATAAGTCCAAGGCGTCGGTAAATGACTACGTTGCTAAGTGAAGAGAGGCTGTATGATGCCATATTGTAATAGATTTGTTTGTTTGTGTTTAATCCTAAAACAACGACTTTTTGAGCGCTTTCTTTAAATAAAACTATTTCCTAACATTTAAACTATCTACTACAGTACTATTATAAGCTATTAGTTTAATGAAAAAACTATTACTATTATAAGCTATTAGTTTAATGAAAAAACTATTACTATTATAAGCTATTAGTTTAATGAAAAAACTATTATAAGCTATTAGTTTAATGAATAAACTAATACTGTACTGTGTATTATTCCAGGCATAATACCGTGACTGAAATAATTCACAAAAAACCCATACATTAACACCACTCTGAAGGACGGGTGTTAATGTTGCAGTTTTATAAGGTGTAGTGTAAAGCATCCCTCTGGCAAGACAGTGATGGAGTGAATGATGATGAAAGTTTTCTTTTTTGGGCCACCTTGCCTTGGTGGGAATTAGCCGATGTGTTAATAAAAAAAAAAAAAATAGAGATGAGCTTATAACATTTCAGTCTGACTTGGTCCAATAACCAGTCACACAGCTAAATGGTCTAAGTCAGACTGAAACGTCATCACAAGTTTATCTCTCCTATGTTTACCTGGAGAGAGTTCTGGGGGTCAACGCCCCCACGGCCCGGTCTGTGACCAGACCTCCTGGTGTATCAGAGCCTGATCAACCAGGCTGTTACTGCTGGCTGCACGCAAACCAACGTACGAGCCACAGCCCGGCTGGTCAGATACCGACTTTAGGTGCTTGTCCAGTGCCAGCTTGAAGACTGCCAGGGGTCTGTTGGTAATCCCCCTTATATATGTGCAGGTTATTTGTGTACAGTTTAATGAATGCAAGCATGTTACTGATGTGCTTGCAGTTTTTACACTGGGCTCGGGAATGTTTCTACTGATGCTGTAGATCCTCTCAAACTGAACTTTGTGCTGTTGGGGAAAATTTATAGACAAAAAGCCTTACATATTTCACAAAGTGTAAAAGAGGCTGCCAGTGCCTCTCATGAGTTGAGAATCTATTCGAGCTTAAACTTTTGATTGAAAGTTCGTCTCTTTTGGGCCGCTTGCCTTGATTCCTCCTCACCATCCTTTTCCAGTTATTTCCATCCTTCCTTATCCTTCTTCCTTCCCATCTTACGACAGCTCTCGTCGTCCTCGATTCGATTCTCTTTCCTATAGAGCTCATGATCCTCAGCATATCCTCACTCTTAACCCTTCAACTGTTCAAACGTAGATCTACGTTTACTCGCGTAGCGCTCCGAACATATATCTACTTTTTATTTTACATTTGAAAGCATGTAAAATAAAACATTTGGAGGGTTGGCGGTATGAATGTAGATCTACGTTTGGACAGTTTAAGGGTTAAATGTGTACTTTAATATCATTTTTGTTGTGTTTTTCGTTTGGTGTGAGAGCACTCATGAATTTTTTGAAAGAAGAGGCACTCAAGAATTATACAATATCAAAATGTTATTGATTATTATACATATATACATACAACCACTTAACCTGACTCGAGTTCTGGAGGTGGGGAAGTCCAGTGCCTGCACTCTGAAGGATACCTGGAGTATATCTGGAGAGGGTTTTGGGGGTTAATGCCCCCGTGGCCTGGTCTGTAACCAGACCTCATGGTAGATCAGGGCCTGATCAACCAGGCTGTTACTGTTGGCAGCATGTCAACTGATGTACGAAGCACAGCCTGGACAGGTGGGAATGTTACACACAGTCCTGGAGCTGGGAGGTACAGTGCCTGTACTCTGACAGATGGGTGGGAATGTTACAGTCCTGGAGGTGGGAAGTACAGTGCCTGTACTCTGAAGGATGGCTGGGAATGTTGCAGTCGGAGGATTAATCTGAGTGTGATATCAGCACACTTCTTAACACACATCAACTGAGTAAATGTTGGTAAATATGTTTTCTTTTTTGGGTCACCCAGCCTTGGCTGGAAACAGCTCTTGAGTTACAAAATAAAATATACATTAACACACCAACTCACACACCTTACGGCATTTCCCACAAGGTGGTGCGACTCAAAGGAAATACATTCATTATCACTCATTCAATAGCTGTCTTGGTAGAAGTGCATATCATAGTTCAAAATACCTCTGAATTATATTACCCCCCCCACCCCCACCTTTCCTTCAGAATGCAGGAGTTGTGCTTTCCACCTCCGGAACTCAAGTCTGCTTAATTTCTTCCTAAATACCATCTTACTCACACTAACATAACATTCGCTTGACTCGTGAAATCATAATGACAAGATAAGATAAGAGATAAGATAAGATTTCGTTCGGATTTTTAACCCCGGAGGGTTAGCCACCCAGGATAACCCAAGAAAGTCAGTGCGTCATCGAGGACTGTCTAACTTATTTCCATTGTGGTCCTTAATCTTGTCCCCCAGGATGCGACCCACACCAGTCGACTAACACCCAGGTACCTATTTGCTGCTAGGTGAACAGGACAACAGGTGTAAGGAAACGTGTCAAATGTTTCCACCCGCCGGGAATCGAACCCGGGCCCTCCGTGTGTGAAGCGGGAGCTTTAGCCACCAGGCCACCGGGCCACATGATTGCAAACAAGCTATATCATGGGTAGGGATTGAACTTGAGGCGAACGAGTCATAAAACTCCAAGCCTGGAGTTTCAAGACTAACTTGCCACGAGTTCTATCCTCACCCATGTTTTTTTTTTTTTTTTTAACATTCACTTTGATATAACACACTCATAAATGCCTGCTGAATATTCAATCCACTACCATTCAAAACCTCCTTCACACACTCACTTCAACCCTTTCCGGTTATTCCCTTACGCCTTCTCCAGTCCACTGTAAGTGATATAATGTCTTGGTTAACCTGTTGTATACATAATTATTATCATATTTCATGAAAGCACTAAAGCTTACTACATACAGTTGTTCCACAACTTACAACGGTTCAACTTACGATATTTCGACTTTGCGATGAAACTTAAGATAATTACCCAGCATGAAAGCAACAATTCTAACTTGTATACAGCCTCTCCTCACTTAATGATGGAATTCCATTCCTAAGACCACGTTGGTAAACGAATTCGTCACTAAGTGAGGAGCATACTAAAATGGTAGTGGGTTTGTGTCAACTATCTTTGATACTGGTTTAATGTTACCTTTGCACTATTTATAACATTTCTGGTATATTTGTAAATCTTTATACAGCAGTGTACTGTATATTGTAATAAGCAGAATAGAGGAAGTCAGCTCTAATATACATTACTTAGGTATGCATACTAGTCAGAGAGCCCGTCATAAGTCCGAGTCATCAGTAAACAAGTACAGTGGACCCTCACCTAACGAACGCATCGCATAACGTTAAATTCGCCTAACGATACATTTTAACACTAACATTTTGCCTCGGCTAACGCTAAAAAACTCGCCTAACGATATTCGTTCTCGGGTACCAATTAATATCGTTAGGAGAGGCTATATGTATTTTTACTTTTCAATACTGGTATTTAGTTAGAGTAATTATTTTTTTATTTACTAAGTGACAATACTTATTTATGTAACATGTATTCATACCCATCACTGGAGCATCAGTGGCAATAAACACAGAAGTGAGATTCTCATTCTGCAACAATTTCTTAATCTGCTGCGCAGCCTTCTTTAGGCTCGGCACTTCATCGCCTCTTGCACGCACGAAGTCTTTCCTCCGAAGGTGGACGGCAATGTATGGTCCGCCAACAGCTGCTCCTCGTTTAGGCTAAAATATAGAAGAAAATTATGAAAAATATAAATATCTTTAATTGTAGCAAGCAAAACAGACTAAAACTGACAGTACAGTACTGTCTCTATAACTGTAACCATTCATAATACAGTACTGTCTCTATAACTGGAACCATTCACAATACAGTACTGTCTCTATAACTGGAACCATTTGCAATACAGTACTGTCTCTATAACTGGAACCATTTGCAATACAGTACTGTCTCTATAACTGGAACCATTTGCAATACAGTACTGTCTCTATAACTGGAACCATTTGCAATACAGTACTGTCTCTATAACTGGAATTGTTCACAATACAGTACTGTAGTTATAGATGGAACACTTCACATGTAATCCAATGTGAAGAGAAAATTGCTGACCATATTTTGAATCCTGGACATTTATCAAGATGGTCTGACCCATCTTGGGCATTTATCATGTCCAAGATGGGTCAGACCTCTTGATAAATGTCCAGGATGATTCAGACCATCTTGATAAATGTCCAGGATGGTTCAGACCATCTTGATAAATGTCCAGGATGGTTCAGACCATCTTGATAAATGTCCAGGATGGTTCAGACCATCTTGATAAATGTCCAGGATGGTTCAGACCATCTTGATAAATGTCCAAGATGGTTCAGACCATCTTGATAAATGTCCAAGATGGTTCAGACCATCTTGATAAATGTCCAGGATGGTTCAGACCATCTTGATAAATGTCCAAGATGGTTCAGACTATCTTGGACATTTATCAAGATGGTCTGAACCATCCTGGACATTTATCAAGATGGTCTGATTCAGCTTCGTAGAGTTCCATACCCTGACTGAGCCTAACTACTGGGAGCGCCTGGAAGCACTTGACTTGTACTCAATGGAGCGCAGGCGAGAGAGAATTTCCACACCTGGAAGATTCTGGAGGGACTGGTACCTAATATGCAAACAGCAATCACTCCATACGAAAGCAAAAGACTTGGCAGAAGATGCAACATACCCCCAGTGAAAAGTAGGGGTGTCACTGGTACACTAAGAGAAAACACCATAAGTGTCCGGGGCCCAAGACTGTTCAACAGCCTCCCATCAGCAATAAGGGGCATTACCACTAGACCCCTGGTTGTCTTCAAGAGGGAGCTGGACAGATACCTAAAGACGGTGCCAGATTAGCCAGGCTGTGGTTCGTACGTTGGATTGCATGCAGTCAGCAGTAACATCCTCGTTGATCAGGCCCTGATCCACCGGGAGGCCTGGTCGTGGACCGGGCCACGGGGGCGTTGATCCCCAAAATGCCCTCCAGGTAGTAGAGCTCCATACCCTGACTGATCTTAGCAGAGCTCCCTACCCTGATTCAGCCTAATAGAGCTCCATACCCTGATTGATCCTAGTAGAGCTTGCTACCCTGATTCAGCCTAATAGAGCTCCATACCCTGATTGATCCTAGTAGAGCTCCCTACCCTGATTGAGAATAGTAGAGTTTCACACCCTGATTCAGCCTAATAGAGCTCTATACCCTGATTCAGCCTAGTAGAGCTCTATCAGCTTAGAACACATCTACAGCATACAGTGTTACTGGCACAAGAGGATATAATACAGTAAACCCTCAGTATAATAAACTTTTAAAATTATGGGCAAAAACCACTGGTTAAATTGTACTTTTAATAATTCTGGTACAATATTTTCAGTGTTTATTATAGTTCAGTGGCATCTCGAATTTCAGCCATAATTTGTTTCAGAAGGCTGTTCGAGTGCCGTTACTGAACGAATTTGTTCCCATAAGGAATAATGTAAATTAGATTAGTCCATTTCAGACCCCCAAAAGCACTTACAAAAATATACTTACATAACTGTTCGAGCTGGGAGCTGTTCGAAATTCAAGGTACCACTGTATATCTGTAGGTTTTGTGTGCAGTAATATATTAGTTATAGAGTACTTAAGTCCATTTTTTTGCTATTTAACAATAGTATTCAGATTTAAGAGAAACTTGAAGTATATTTACCATTAAGTAAAGGACACAAGTGCAACTAATGTGACATTTGATTATGGCAACGTTTCACTCTCCGCGAGAGCAAAATGTTGCCACAATATAATGTCACATTAGTTGCATATTGTCGGTATTTTTTTTTCAATGAACCGGTCGTATCCCACCAAGGCAGGGTGACCTAACAAGAAAAATGAAAGTTTTTCTTTTTAAATTTAGTAATGTATACAGGAGTAGGGGTTACTAGCATCTTGCTCCCGGCATTTTAGTCGACTCTTATGACACACGACTTACAGAGGAAGAATTCTGTTTCACTTCCCCATGGAGATAGGAAATAAAGAACAAGAGATATTAAAAATATAGAAGAAAATCAAGATGGGTGTGTACATATACAGTGGAACCTCAAAAATCGAACTGCTCCCAACACAACCAATTATGTAAGTGTATTTTTGTAAGTGCTTTTATAAGCTTATTTTTGAGGGTCTGAAATGGACTAATCGAATTTACATTATTCCTGATGGGAATAAATTCATTCGGTAAAGGCACTCGATCAGCCTTCTGGATTGAAGAAAGTTCGATATTTGAGGTTCGACTGTACATGCGGGTACATGCACGTGTAGTGTGACTGGAGTTTAAGTGCAAGTAGCAAGATATACCTGGTATCTCGCATGTAGTGTCGCTAATTCTACCAATATTATTACATTCCCCTGTTGGACTGTTATGTTGAGGGTTCACTATGTGATATGGGCTGTGAAGTTCCATTTATTAAACTTTCCTTAGTTAGGTTAGGTAAGGTTCATCAGGAAACAAGACAAGCGTTTCCTGATGCGGGTCTTAGTCATATGATGACCCACAGCTGGAGCTCTTGGTTATCTGACCAAAGATTTCTGCTGGCTTACTGCTCCACCCCTTTAAAAATTATGGTTATCATCATACCTCCTACCTTACTGTTGCGAGAGTCGTCTTTCACTACAGTTTTATTTTGCTTGTCATACGAGCTTAATTAATCTATTCTGGATGTGAAGTTGCATTTATTAAACCTACCTTAGTGTCACGCCAGTCGTCTTTCACTTCAGTTTTATCTTGCTTGTCGTCCGAACCCAAGTAATCTCTTCTGAACCTTGTAGCCTCTTCCCGCAGATGCCTGGCAAAGCGCATGCTGCGTCTTGCTGCCCAATACCACTTACCTCCATATTCATCATGTAAAATGGTTTCTGCTCGACCAATAAACACTGACCTGTCAATTGGCAACCAAAATATTAATAGTGTGTTTTAAATTATTATACTCCGTTTCAAAAAGAATATTTTACATTTTTGTTTTTTATTCATTAACGAGGCAACGCCTCTCGTGTTTTTGTATTTTAAATCAATAAAAACTGATGCTATCATAACTTCCTGTATCTTCACGATTATTACATAATAACTTTACAAAACTAAAGATTACTGATGGCGGTTTATCCTACTCATTCCTTTCCTGTTCCCCACTCAGGTTCCTTCATCTGTTCCCCACTCAGGTTCCTTCTTCTCCTGTTCCCCACTCAGGTTCCTTCTTCTCTTGTCCCCACTCAGGTTCCTTCTTCTCTTGTCCCCACTCAGGTTCCTTCTTCTCTTGTCCCCACTCAGGTTCCTTCTTCTCTTGTCCCCACTCAGGTTCCTTCTTCTCTTGTCCCCACTCAGGTTCCTTCTTCTCTTGTCCCCACTCAGGTTCCTTCTTCTCTTGTCCCCACTCAGGTTCCTTCTTCTCTTGTCCCCACTCAGGTTCGTTCTTCTCTTGTCCCCACTCAGGTTCGTTCTTCTCTTGTCCCCACTCAGGTTCGTTCTTCTCTTGTCCCCCACTCAGGTTCCTTCTTCTCCTGTCCCCAACTCAGGTTCCTTCTCCTCCTGCCCCCCACTTAGGTTCCTTCCCCTCCTGTCCCCACTCAGGTTCCTTCTTCTCCTGTCCCCACTCAGGTTCCTTCTTCTCCTGTCTCCCACTCAGGTTCCTTCTCCTCCTGCCCCCCACTTAGGTTCCTTCCCCTCCTGTCCCCACTCAGGTTCCTTCCCCTCCTGTCCCCACTCAGGTTCCTTCTTCTCCTGTCCCCACTCAGGTTCCTTCTCCTGTCCCCACTCAGGTTCCTCCTCCTCCTGTCCCCACTCAGGTTCCTCCTCCTCCTGTCCCCACTCAGGTTCCTCCTCCTGTTCCCTCCCAAGTTTCCCCTAACCTCTAATCTCATGCTTCTAAAATTGTACCACATGTTCATTAACCTCTCTTATTGTACATATGACTGTAGTTAATTGCATAAGAAATCCTACTTAACAGTCTATGTCTAATATTAACCCGTAAATGGTCCAAACGTATACAGTGGACCCCCGATTAATGATATTTTTTCACTCCAGAAGTATGTTCAGGTGCCAGTACTGACCGAATTTGTTCCCATAAGGAATATTGTGAAGTAGATTAGTCCATTTCAGACCCCCAAACATACACGTACAAACGCACTTACATAAATACACTTACATAATTGGTCGCATTGGGAGGTGATCGTAAACCGGGGGCCCACTGTATATACGTTTTTTCAACATTTGAAAGTATGTAAAATAAGTAGATCTTCTTTTTGTTTTTCTACATTTCAAAATGTGTAAAAAAACTTTGATTTTTTTTTTTGTTATATTTGAAAATATGTAAAAAAAACGTAGATCTACTTTTGTAGCACTACGCATGTGAACGTAGATCTGCTGGGACCGTTTACGGGTTAAGTCACTGTGTCTGACTTTTTTGTGTTATCCCAGGTTGTCTACACATATGCTGCTATGTATGATAATTCTATGTAACTGTATTTCTGTATACCTGAATAAACTTACTTACTTACTTAAGTAACACTGAAGCATTAGGAATAGTTTACCCAAAAAGAATTGCATCTTAATTACCTTTTTTTTGTCTATCAATATTATATTACATGTAAACTTCATTATTTTTATAATATAAAGAAATAAAAATCGTACTATAATTTTTTTTAATGCACCGGCCGTCTCCCACTGAGGCAGGGTGACCTAAAAAGAAAAACTCCTAGTAATGTATACAGGGGAAGGGGGTTACTAGCCCCTTGCTCCCGGCATTTTAGTTGCCTCTTACGACACACATGGCTTACGGAGGAAGAATTCTTTTAAACTTTCCCATGGTGCAGTTATTTATTTATCACATGCAATCTCTCTTCACTTAACGACATACTCATTTAATGACCGCTCAGACTTACGACCAGCTCTCTGACCAGTATGCATACATAACTAATGTATATTAGAGCTGAATTCCTTTATGTCTATTACGATATATAATACTGTATAAACATTTAGAAATATACTAAACATATTATAAATGGTGCAAACGTGACATTAAAACAAAGATCTAATTTAGTTTACATTAAGTTACTACCAGTATAGTGCTCCTCACTTAATGACCAATTCATTTACTGACCTACTCTTAGGAACAGAATCCCATCGTTAAGTGAGGAGAGACTGTATTCACATTCGACTTCGGATATTTTCAACTTACGATGGGGTCACTGGAATACACATAACCCCAAAAGAGAGAGCTACGCTACCTGCTTGTCAAATCTCGTTGTATCAGAGGGAGTAAGGTTGCTGCTTGTCCTTGAATAGAGAGGCAGGTGAAATTATCAGTTTTCACCTTGGTGGCCCACATCTGTCCCGACCAAGACCCGTCATCTCTGTTGAGAGTGCAAGTTATGAAGATTCCATTTGTTTATGAAGTTGCAACTTTTATGGGGATAATGTGTAGAGCTTTATCAAGTTATGTTTCACTCTGTGTAGAGCTTTATCAAGTTATGTTTCACTCTGTGTAGAGCTTTATCAAGTTATGTTTCACTCTGTGTAGAGCTTTATCAAGTTATGTTTCACTCTGTGTAGAGCTTTATCAAGTTATGTTTCACTCAGTGTAGAGCTTTATCAAGTTATGTTTCACTCTGTGTAGAGCTTTATCAAGTTATGTTTCACTCTGTGTAGAGCTTTATCAAGTTATGTTTCACTCTGTGTAGAGCTTTATCAAGTTATGTTTCACTCAGTGTAGAGCTTTATCAAGTTATGTTTCACTCTGTGTAGAGCTTTATCAAGTTATGTTTCACTCTGTGTAGAGCTTTATCAAGTTATGTTTCACTCTGTGTAGATTGCAAACAAACCATACCACAGGCGGGATTTGAACCCGCGGTCAGAGTCTCAAAACTCCAGACCGTTGCGTTAGCCACTGGACCAGCTAGCTTCAATAAGATTCGTCCAACTAGGTGTATTTCTACACCATAGGAAGGTTAGCATAGGCCACCACTGTGACCACAAATGCAAGTTTTTATGCTACGATCTGGAGTTTTGAGACTCTCTGACCGCGGGTTCAAATCCCGCCCGTGGTTGCATTTTTTTTAATACCAGTTAACAAAAAATCACATCAGTCCACTAACACCCAGGTGCCCATTTTACTGTTGGGTGAACGTAGACAACAGGTGTAAAGAAACACGCCCAGTGTTTCTACCCTGGCTGGGAATCAAACCCAGATCCTCACCGTGTGAAGCGAGAGCTTTAGCCACCAGGCCACCAGAGCCCCTTATATTAGGCAGTGTTAACCCTTCAACCGTCCAAACACAGATCTACGTTTGCACCGCTAGCACTCCGAATGTAGATCAACGTTTCATATTACATGCTTTCAAATGTAAATAAAAAACGTAGATCTACATTCGGAGTGCTAGCGGTGCAAACATAGAACTACATTTGGATAGTTTAAGTGTTAATATGCTAAACAATTCTCTCAAGTATGAATATGTGAAAAAAAAAAATACAGCATTCTTTTTCCTATAACTTGAATAATAATCCAACTTTAAGTGATAATAATTTGCTTGTGTGTTCTCCTTATAATTCCTAAATTTGTTTGTAAACTCTTAATGTCTTTATATAAGAGTTTGTTTGGGTTTTTAACCCCAAAGGGTTAACCACCCAGAACAACCCAAGAAAGTCAGTGCGTCATCGAGGGACTTTCTGTCTCATTTCTACTGTGGTCCTTCATCTTGTCCCCCAGGATGCCACCCACACCTGCTGACTAACACCCAGGTACCTACTTGCTTGCTAGGTGAACAGAATAGCAGGTGTAAGGAAATACACCTAGTGGTTCCACTCATGCTGGGGATTGAACCATGGACATTCAATGTGTGCAGCAAGAGTGTTGCCTACCAAGCCATTGTAGTCTTAAGTTAGTCTTAACCATGATGCAGTGTGGACCTGCCTGAACTTAGATTTTTTCAAAGGTATAGACAGGTTGTATTATTATTATTATAATCAAAAAGAAGCGCTAAGCCACAAGGACTATACAGAGACAGGTTGTAGAAGACCCAAGAGTCATCCTGATGTCAAAAACATTGGCAGATGGCATATTTCCAGGCACAGAAAACTGTGCATACTGGTACATGACATCACCTGTGTACTAGTATATTGGAGCCAATTAAATGTCTAAATAAATATTTATAACACAAATCCAATAAATAAATACACTGTAATACAATACACTCAGTTCTCTTAGTGATCTTTTTGCAAATGCAACTGAAAAGGTGAATGCAAAATTGAACAGGACAAACCATGAAGGTCTTTCCCCATCCTATACAATTTTGGTTGCATTTTTTTAATACCAGTTAACAAAAAATCACAGTAAACATTTAAATTTATATAAGAGCTGACTTTATATAAATCATTTTAAGACAAAGAACCGTATTTCGCGGCTTAAAAGACTTGTTATAGTGTCAATGGCTCGGTATCGGACGTAACTGGAAGAGCTACAGCCCACCCTACACCCCAAATTCATAGCTCCCATCACCGACCTTCAGGTTATAGGGCGCAGGGTGGGTTTTGGAGACATTTCATGGAAAAGATGTGTCTAATAAGCTGTGAAATATAGTAATACAGTGGACCCCCGCTTTACGATCACCTCCCAATGCGACCAATTATGTAAGTGTATTTATGTAAGTGCGTTTGTACGTGTATGTTTGGGGGTCTGAAATGGACTAATCTAATTCACAATATTCCTTATGGGAACAAATTCGTTCAGTAATGGCACCTGAACATACTTCTGGAATGAAATAATATCATAAACCGGGGGTCCACTGTATTTTTGATTGACAACTGCAAGTTACCCCATACCGCTGTTCAAAGTTGTGCCTCTCAATGCATGGCCTTTTGTCGTACTTTTCTTCCCATTTGCCTCCCCATCCTTCTGCATAATTCTGCAACACGTATGTTGACCCTACGGTTGCTCCTTCAGCTATGTATGAGGAAAAACACACTAATTTTTTTACCACTGTTAATACATAACTTGAAAAAAAATTAATACACTGGTTTAAATAATAAGATATCACAAGGACACCAATTGAAATAAGTCACTGACTTTTTTGGGTAATTTACACTATGTATGTTAATTATACTTGTGTGTATCTGTGCCTAAATATACAAACTGTTGTTAATGCATTATACACTTGAATATAAATTATTCAGCAAGATGTTATTCAACATTGAACATATTATCCAGCAAAGAATATAAAGTCACAATACCGTGACTGGAACAATACACAAATAACTCGCACACAGGAGAGAGGAACTTACGTGGATGTTTTGGTTCCACTTATACCATTAACAAGTCACACTAACACACAAGGGTGAGGGAGCCAGTGTACATAGGAGAGGAGGACAGGGACAGAACAGAGAGGAAGAAAGAAATGGAAAAGTAGTGGTAGAGGTAATGCTGGTATTGGTAGTAGTAGTAGTAGCAGTACTGTCATTTCAGCAGAGCCTTCAACACAGGAGGGATGTGGGTGACCTTACTGTTACGTACAAGGCCAACATTGTCAAAGTACCACACTTGGATCCACTTCGAGGACAGCGTGAAGCAAGCTTCTATACCACAAGACGGGCAGAAAGCAACAACTTCACTCTAGCTGTAACTTTCTCCAGAACATCACTTCATCTGAGATCATTTATCCCCAGGATGACTCAAGTCTGGAACACATTCGTACAGCATTATGATGTCAACATGATAAAGTCAATTGATCAAATGAAAATGTTGGCCCACATATGGCTCCAACCTCATCTTGTCCCCTACTTGTATGTTTCGTATCAATAAAAATGCTTTCAAATGAACTGATGTAGGTAACAACTCTTAGCTTGTCAATAAAGTTAGGAATCCATAGCTTGTCAATAAAGTTAGGGATCCATAGCTTGTCAATAAAGTTAGGAATCCATAGCTTGTCAATAAAGTTAGGGATCCATAGCTTGTCAATAAAGTTAAGGATCCTTAACCTAACCTTGTCAAACCCTGTGTAAAAAAAAAAAAGTGAGAGAGAGAGACAAGAAAGAGTGAAGGAGTTTGAAAATTGAAAAATTGACTGTCACTGTTTTACTCTTTATCCTCCAAAAAGCCTCCAGAATCACACTCGACCAATCAATCAACACCACTTATATACAATACACAAATAATCATTCACATTTGTTTACTTTTCAAGTAATCATTAAATTCGGTAACTGGTATCCACTTGTTCAAGCTCTCGACATCGAAGAAATTCTTCCAGGGTACGTAGAGACCAGGACGCACGTTTTGCCAGTGATACAGGTTACCCCAGGGTGGTAGTACCTGTGGAAGTGGTCAAGAATATATTATTATTATTACAGGAAGTCCTCAACTTACACAATACCTCCTGTATTGTGTAAAATATTCATAATACACGAAGTCTTCAATTTATGAACATGTTGGGGACCTGTATTGTGTATAATAACGATTTAATAATAATATAAACAATACTGAAGGTCCTTGACGTACTCATCAGTAGACGGCTTACTGTATATTGTATAATCAAAAAGCGCTAAACCCACCATGGTCATACAGCACTGCGTTAAAGAATGAAAAGCATAAATATGATGAAAAATAATGGGCTAAATTTCACTTAGTAAATTGTACATTTAATTTCTTTATGTAATTTTTACTGCAGCAGAATTGTACACTGAGTACATTGCTATATTAGTACACACTAGAGTACATAAGTACAATGCTATATTAGCACGCTAGAGTACACAAGTATATTGCTATACAGTGGAACCTCAAAAATCGAACTTAATCCGTTCCAGGAGCTAGTTCTAAATTCGAAAAGTCTGAAATTCGAAGCAATATTTCCCGTAAGAAATAATGGAAATACAATTAATCCGTTCCAGAAACCCAAAAATATTAACACAAAAAATACATTTTATAGAGATTAATTACAGTTTTACATACAACAAATACTATAGTTTTTAATTATAGTTTTTAATTATAGAGTGCAAAAGGAGAGCAGATGATAGAGTGGGAGAGGCACTGTCAAGAAATTTTAATGAAAATAAGAAAAAATTTTGGAGTGAGTTAAACAAGTTAAGAAAGCCTAGGGAAAGTATGGATTTGTCAGTTAAAAACAGAGTAGGGGAGTTAGTAGATGGGGAGAGGGAGGTATTAGGTAGATGGCGAGAATATTTTGAGGAACTTTTAAATGTTGAGGAAGAAAGGGAGGTGGTAATTTCATGCACTGGTCAGGGAGGTATACCATCTTTTAGGAGTGAAGAAGAGCAGAATGTAAGTGTGGTGGAGGTACGTGAGGCATTACGTAGAATGAAAGGGGGTAAAGCAGCTGGAACTGATGGGATCATGACAGAAATGTTAAAAGCAGGGGGGGGATATATTGTTGGAGTGGTTGGTACTTTTGTTTAATAAATGTATGAAAGAGGGGAAGGTACCTAGGGATTGGCGGAGAGCATGTATAGTCCCTTTATATAAAGGGAAAGGGGACAAAAGAGATTGTAAAAATTATAGAGGAATAAGTTTACTGAGTATACCAGGAAAAGTGTACGGTAGGGTTATAATTGAAAGAATTAGAGGTAAGACAGAATGTAGGATTGCGGATGAGCAGGGAGGCTTCAGAGTGGGTAGGGGATGTGTAGATCAAGTGTTTACATTGAAGCATATATGTGAACAGTATTTAGATAAAGGTAGGGAAGTTTTTATTGCATTTATGGATTTAGAAAAGGCATATGATTGGGTGGATAGGGGAGCAATGTGGTAGAAATTGCAAGTATATGGAATAGGTGGTAAGTTACTAAATGCTGTAAAGAGCTTTTATGAGGATAGTGAGGCTCAGGTTAGGGTATGTAGAAGAGAGGGAGACTACTTCCTGGTAAAAGTAGGTCTTAGACAGGGATGTGTAATGTCACCATGGTTGTTTAATATATTTATAGATGGGGTTGTAAAGGAAGTAAATGCTAGGGTGTTCGGGAGAGGGGTGGGATTAAATTATGGGGAATCAAATTCAAAATGGGAATTAACACAGTTACTTTTTGCTGATGATACTGTGCTTATGGGAGATTCTAAAGAAAAATTGCAAAGGTTAGTGGATGAGTTTGGGAATGTGTGTAAAGGTAGAAAGTTGAAAGTGAACATAGAAAAGAGTAAGGCGATGAGGGTATCAAATGATTTAGATAAAGAAAAATTGGATATCAAATTGGGGAGGAGGAGTATGGAAGAAGTGAATGTTTTCAGATACTTGGGAGTTGACGTGTCAGCGGATGGATTTATGAAGGATGAGGTTAATCATAGAATTGATGAGGGAAAAAAGGTGAGTGGTGCATGAGGTATATGTGGAGTCAAAAAACGTTGTCTATGGAGGCAAAGAAGGGAATGTATGAAAGTATAGTATGTAGTACCAACACTCTGCCTCGGCGGGAGACGGCCGACTTGTTGAAAAAAAAAAAAAATACATATAAAATAACATTTTTACTTACCTTTATTGAAGATTGGTGATGGCATCTGGAAGATAGGGAGGAGAGAGGGAGTTGGGGTTAGTGTTTGGAAGGAGAATCCCCCTCCATGAGGACTTCAGGTAAAGCCCTCTCTGGGGTTACTTCCCTTCTCTGTCTTTTAATGCCACTAGGACCAGCTTGAGAGTCACTGGACCCCTGTCTCACAAAATAACTGTCCACAGTCCTCTGTTTCTGGCGCCTCTTAAACATTTCCCTAAAATGGGACATGGTTCTGTCACTGAACTTGTTGCAAAGATGGCTTGTTTCAGCTTACTCAGGGTGGTACTTCTGCACAAACATTTGGACATCATTCCACTTGGCACAAATCTCCTTAATCTTTGAAGAAGGCACCTCATCCACTCCCTATATTAACACCTTTCGCAACATCAGCTTCCTTGATTTGTTCTTTCTTTGACAGGATAGAACCGATGGTCGACTTGTTTTTCCCATACATCCTGGCAAGCTCAACAAGTCTCATACTTCTGTATTATTTCCTTCACACCTATGGTGTTTCTCACTTTCTTTACCACAGGGGTACCACTAGCAAGTTTCTTTGGGCCCATGGCAGCTTATTTCACAGTCCCACAAGCACTAAACACAACGAAATAATCGTAAAATGCGTGAATGAGAGCGCAGGTTAGTGTTCACTCAAGCATAAACAAAGCTAGACTGCTCACGGCACCTGCGCTGGGACGCGGACAGAGCGGGTGGCAGACAGGTCCTGTACCCGGCGGTCCAAAAATAGGGGAGCGTTCGATAATAGGGACACAGTTTGTCCGAAAAAATGGTCCTATTTTCGAAACGTTTGATATGTGATACGTTCAGTTTTTGAGGTTCCTCTGTATTAGCACACACTAGAGTACATAAGTGCTATGCTCTTTCTTTCTTGTTTTTGGCTTTTTTTTTTTTTTTGGGTCATCCTGCCCTGGTTGTGGTATATGGCCAGTTTGTTGAAAAAAAATTATATTATACAAGCATGACTGAATTAAAGATCTGGATAAAGATATATAAAGAAGGTCAACTTGTAATATGCTCGAGTACAGTTAACCAATGGTTTAGATAAACTGAGGGCTTACTCAGTAAACCAAGGGCTTATTCGGTAAACTGAGGGTTTATTAAGTAAGCTGAAGGCTTACTTGGTAAACCAAGGGTTTACTGAGTAAACCCTCAACTATATAGACCTTTATTTAACAGATTTCAGAAATATGGGACAACCTCAACTGGATCTATTTGTGTAAGAACAATGGACAAAGTCCACTGGTTACAGTAATGTCCATTACCATAACGATCACAGCAAAACAATCTCATCCCGACCCGTCACAATCATTATTGCCAACCACACGCTTTACCTAGGGGCACCATGATGATGCTAAGAGACAACAAAATAATTGTCAGGGACGGACCCAAGACTTTTCAACTATCTCCAAGCATACATAAGGGGGATTACCAATAGACCCCTGGTTGTCTTCAAGAGCCAGCTGGACAGACACCTAAAGTCAGTACCTGACCAGCCGGGCTGTTGTTCCTACGTTGGTTTACGTGTGGCCAGCAGTAACATCCTGGTTAACCAGGCCCCCATGGCCTGGTCATGGACCGGACCATGGGGGTATTGTCCCCCAAAACCCCCTTGTGGGTATACCCCAGGTGTTACTCCATTAAATCAAGAAGTTTACTATAGCTATCTTTACATACTTGTACATTCTGATTACCTGGAGTTTACCTGGAGAGAGTTCTGGGGTTCAACACCCCCGCAGCCCGGTCTGCGACCAGGCCTCATGGTGGATCAGGGCCTGATCAACCAGGCTGTTACTGCTGGTCGCACAGAATCCAACATACGAACCACAGCCCAGCTGATCAGGTATTGACTTTAGGTGCTTGTCCAGTGCCTGCTTGAAGACAACCAGGGGTCAATTGGTAATCCCCTTATGTATATGGGAGGCAGTTGAACAGTCTTGGGCCCCTAACACTTATTGTGTTGTCTCTTAAAGTGCTAGTGGCACAGTCTCTCCTCACTTAACAATGGAGTTCCATTCCTGAGACTACATCGTTAAACGAATTCATCGCTAAGTGAGGAGCATACTATGTATACTGGTAATGGATTTGCTTCAACCATCTTTGATATTTTTTAATGTTATCTTTATACCATTTATAACATTTCTGGTATATTTTTAAATGTATATACAGTAGTGCACTGTATATTGTAATAAAGAAAGTAAAGGAAATCAGCTCTAATATACATACATTAATTAGGTATGCATACTGGTCAGAGCGCCCTTCGTACGTCCGAGGCATCAGTAAACCAGTACGTACATCTAAGTGAGGAGAGGTTGTACTGATTAACATAATACAATTTAAAAAAATCATACACCCATACAGTACTTACCAAAACCCAGTTATCAACATCATTCAGCTTGCGAATTAAGTTTGCAACACGAATATACACATCTCGGCGGAGATTAAATCCTTCCCCTGGATTAACATCGTATAACAAATACCTGAAAATATATAAAAAAAATTAACAAAATCACACAAATGAAAAAAGTTATAGCAAAAATTTCTTAAATTTTTACATTGTTGAATATTTTTGATAATCTAAACCTAGCTTAAACCTAACTAAATCTAACTTAAACCTAATCTAACGTAAACCAAATCTTGTAGTGGGGGTTCGTAGGAGATATGATGGTTGGAGTTAAAAATACTTGTTGGATGGTAACACACATATTGCAGAGTATGAAGAGGGAGCCCAACCTGCCATGTGTTGCCTGTAGTAGACCTATGCGGGAACTGAGGCCGATGCGGCGCGTCCAACGCACTCATGCGGCATCATGTGATGTCACATAAACTAGTCACTAGGCCTAGCAAAGGGGTAGTGTATGTAAAACATATGGATGGTACTAACTATGATACTCAGATAAGCTATACAACACATGTAGGGGATCACCAACTATGCTGACAATCTAACCTAAACCAAATCTAACCCAAACCTAACCCAAACCTAAACCTAAACCAAACCTAACCTAAACCAAACCTAACCTAAACCAAACCTAAACCAAACATAACCTAAACCAAACATAACCTAAACCAAACCTAACCTAAACCAAACCTAGCCTAAACCAAACCTAAACCAAACCTAAACCTAAACCAAACCTAACCCAAACCAAACCTAACCTAAACCAAACCTAAACCAAGCCTAACCTAAACCAAACCTAACCTAAATCAAACCTAACCTAAACCAAACCTAACCCAAGCCTAACCTAAACCAAACCTAAACCAAACCTAACCTAAACCTAACCTAAACCAAACCTAAACCAAACCTAAACCTAACCTAACCTAAACCTAACCCTAACCTAACCTAAACCAAACCTAACCCTAACCTAAACCTAACCTAAACCAAACCTAACCTAAACCAAATCTAACCTAAACCAAACTTAACCTAAACCAAACCAAACCTAACCTAAACCAAACCTAACCTAAACCAAACCTAACCTAAACCAAACCTAAACCAAACATAACCTAAACCAAACATAACCTAAACCAAACCTAACCTAAACCAAACCTAGCCTAAACCAAACCTAAACCAAACCTAAACCAAACCTAAACCTAAACCAAACCTAACCCAAACCAAACCTAACCTAAACCAAACCTAAACCAAGCCTAACCTAAACCAAACCTAACCTAAATCAAACCTAACCTAAACCAAACCTAACCCAAGCCTAACCTAAACCAAACCTAAACCAAACCTAACCTAACCTAACCTAAACCAAACCTAAACCAAACCTAAACCTAACCTAACCTAAACCTAACCCTAACCTAACCTAAACCAAACCTAACCCTAACCTAAACCTAACCTAAACCAAACCTAACCTAAACCAAATCTAACCTAAACCAAACTTAACCTAAACCAAACCTAACCTAAACCAAACCTAACCTAAACCAAACCTAACCTAAACCTAACCTAAACCAAACCTAACCTAAAGCTAACCTAAAGCTAACCTAAACCTAACCCCCCCCCCAGTGCCATCCCTGCTGCCACAAGGAAACACGAACAATGTCTCCACCTCCCCCAGGATTGCACCCTTCTTTAGGTTGTGAGCTGAAGCATTACCACTGTTCTATCTAGGCTGGAATATTGCTGCACTCTAACAGCACCTTTCAAGGCAGGTGAAATTGCCGACCTAGAAAATGTACAGAGAACTTTCACGGCGCGCATAACGGAGATAAAACACCTCAATTACTGGGAGCGCTTGAGGTTTCTAAACCTGTATTCCCTGGAACGCAGGAGGGAGAGATACATGATTATATACACCTGGAAAATCCTAGAGGGACTAGTACCAAACTTGCACACGAAAATCACTCACTACGAAAGCAAAAGACTTGGCAGACGATGCACCATCCCCCCAATGAAAAGCAGGGGTGTCACTAGCACGTTAAGAGACCATACAATAAGTGTCAGGGGCCCGAGACTGTTCAACTGCCTCCCAGCACACATAAGGGGGATTACCAACAGACCCCTGGCAGTCTTCAAGCTGGCACTGGACAAGCACCTAAAGACAGTTCCTGATCAGCCGGGCTGTGGCTCGTACGTTGGTTTGCGTGCAGCCAGCAGCAACAGCCTGGTTGATCAGGCGCTGATCCACCAGGAGGCCTGGTCACAGACCGGGCCGCGGGGGCGTTGACCCCCGAAACTCTCTCCAGGTAAACTCCAGGTATGATCCACTGTCTACACTGTGCATGATAAAATACAATACTGCATAATACAATAACCTAAAGAAATTTATATTTAAATGTTAACAAGTGAATATTTAACTATAAAGATTATTATTATTATAATCAAGGGGGAAGCGCTAAACCCGGAAGATTATACAGCGCCTGGGGGGGGGGGATGTGGAAGGCATTCAGGCTTAATTCGGGGAACTGGAGCACAGATCCAATTCCCTAAATCAAGAGCCCCTCACCAACATCAAGGAACCTTCCTTGAGGGATCCAATTTCCTAAATCAAGAGCACCTCACCAACATCAAGGAACCTTCCCTGAGGGATCCAATTTCCTAAATCAAGAGCCCCTCACCAACATCAAGGAACCTTCCTTGAGGGATCCAATTTCCTAAATCAAGAGCACCTCACCAACATCAAGGAACCTTCCCTGAGGGATCCAATTTCCTAAATCAAGAGCCCCTTACCAACATCAAGGAACCTTCCCTGAGGGATCCAATTCCCTAAATCAAGAGCACCTCACCAACATCAAGGAACCTTCCCTGAGGGATCCAATTCCCTAAATCAAGAGCACCTCACCAACATCAAGGAACCTTCCCTGAGGGATCCAATTTCCTAAATCAAGAGCCCCTCACCAACATCAAGGAACCTTCCCTGAGGGATCCAATTTCCTAAATCAAGAGCCCCTTACCAACATCAAGGAACCTTCCCTGAGGGATCCAATTCCCTAAATCAAGAGCACCTCACCAACATCAAGGAACCTTCCCTGAGGGATCCAATTCCCTAAATCAAGAGCACCTCACCAACATCAAGGAACCTTCCCTGAGGGATCCAATTCCCTAAATCAAGAGCCCCTCACCAACATCAAGGAACCTTCCTTGAGGGGTGTTGATCCGAGAGATAACAACATCGTCGTGGTAAAACCTGTCGAAGGAAACACTCGATATTAAAACTGTCAACATTATAATCATGGGAAAGCACTAAACTCGTAAGGGTCACGCATCTCACCTCTCGTCGTTGCGTCGTCCCTCACGACACGTCTCTTGCGTACACGTCGCCCTTTGAAACGTAATTAGTAAAGTGAGAATAATAAGTAACGTTTTATTACAGTCATCCATGTTGATCACCACGACTCAATTATTATAATCGTAGCCAGGTGCTAAACCTGTAAGGGTTCAGTTATTTAATAAAGCTTAGAATTCGACCCCTGAGGGTTTAGTTGTGCCAGTGTCGACCCCTGAGGGTTTAGTTGTGCCAGTGTCGACCCCTGAGGGTTTAGTTGTGCCAGTGTCGACCCCTGAGGGTTTAGTTGTGCCAGTGTCGACCCCTGAGGGTTTAGTTGCGCCAGTGTCGACCCCTGAGGGTTTAGTTGTGCCAGTGTCGACCCCTGAGGGTTTAGTTGTGCCAGTGTCGACCCCTGAGGGTTTAGTTGTGCCAGTGTCGACCCCTGTGGGTTTAGTTGTGCCAGCCTCAGCCCCTGAGGGTTTAGGTTTAACGTTTACATTAGATATAAACGTGTTTAAAACCCACAGGTTTTACATGTATTCTTCACGTGTTAATCCTGCCATTAACTGCGTTAAACCCGCATGAGTTATACAACCAATGTTGACTTGTAAACAAGGTTTCAAGACTATCTTCCACACGAATACGTAAACCAGTGTTGTTTAGGTTTATAAGGACCACTGACGGCTTAGACCTTAACGAACCCGACTTCCCGAAATACTGGAAAGATTCGTTATTGTTATTATAATCAAAGGGGAAGCGCTAAACCCGTAGGATTATACAGCGCCCGGGACGGGGGATGTGGAAGGCATTCAGGCTTAATTCGGGGAACTGGAGCACAGATCCAATTCCCTAAATCAAAAGCCCCTCACCAACATCAAGGAACCTTCCATGAGGGGTTTACCTGGAGAGAGTTCCGGGGGTCAACGCCCCCGCGGCCCGGTCTGTGACCAGGCCTCCTGGTGGATCAGAGCCTGATCAACCAGGCTGTTACTGCTGGCTGCACGCAAACCAACGTACGAACCACAGCCCGGCTGATCAGGAACCGACTTTAGGTGCTTGTCCAGTGCCAGCTTGAAGACTGCCAGGGGTCTGTTGGTAATCCCCCTTATGTATGCTGGAAGGCAGTTGAACAGTCTCGGGCCCCTGACACTTATTGTATGGTCTCTTAACGTGCTAGTGACACCCCTGCTTTTCATTGGGGGGATGGTGCATCGTCTGCCAAGTCTTTTGCTTTCGTAGTTGAACCGTGAAAAAAAAAAGAAGAGTTTGTGAATAGAAACAGAGGCCTGGCGATGGACCGGGCCGCGGGGGGCGCTGATCCCCAGAATACCTTCCAGGTAGACTCCAGGTAGGAACTTGGAGTTTCCAATTTGACCAGGTGGACCCCCTCGCCAATGTCAAAATGTCTGAATATTTGCTTTTTCAGGAGACCCAGTGTGCCACGGTAAATTCAGTCTTCAGGAGCTTGACCAGCCGGGCTGTGGCTCGTACGTTGGATTGTGTGCAGCCAGGAGTAACAGCCTGGTTTGCAGATGAATGGTTCAGAGAACCGACATGTTGATAAATTAGACACATGTGCAACTCTTGGGTATCTTTATTGAGAAAACGTTTCGCCACACAGTGGCTTCATCAGTCCATACAAAGGAGAATCTTGAAGAACAGGAGGAGAATGAGGTAATCAGTCCCTCAACCTTGAGTCGATGTGGTCAGTCCATCAATCTTGAATAAAATACGGCACGTATGCCGTATTCTATTCAAGATTGATGGACTGACCACATCGACACTATGTGCTTAATTGTCCACTTATTGAGGAATACAGAGACAGACAGTATAATAACCTATGTGACATGTCAAGATATCTTATTAATGAAAATAAGATACCAGATATACTAAGCAAATTTCCTAAATTTGCTTGTAACAGATAAGTGAACTATAGATATGTAGATATAAATCCATATGTATTCCTGTTAACCCTTTGGGGCCTAGTTCCTAGGCCTTTTGTGTATCCATATGCTCTCGCGCTACCGTCCACAGGATGGATATGGGGTGCACAATAAACTAGCCACTTCGGTGGCAAAATCTATCTAAAAAAAAAAAACGACTCAAGGTTGAGGGACTGATTACCACATTCTCCTCCTGTTCTTCAAGATTCTCCTTTGTATGGACTGATGAAGCCACTGTGTGGCGAAACGTTTCCTCAATAAAGATACCCAAGAGTTGCACATGTGTCTAATTTATCAACTGCCTGGTTGATCAGGCTCTGATCCACCAGGAGGCCTGGTCACAGACCGAGCCGCGGGGGCGTTGACCCCCGCAACTCTCTCCAGGTAAACTCCAGCTCAGAAAAGAAAGATTTCGAAAGAATCAAGTGAAAGGGCTCTGGTGGCCTGGTGGTTAACGCTCTCGCTTCACACGGCGAGGGCCTGGGTTCGATTCCCAGCCAGAGTAGAAACATTGGACGTGTTTCTTTCCACCTGTTGTCTATGTTCCCCATCAGTAAAATGGGTACCTGGGTGTTAGTCGACTGGTGTGGGTCGCATCCTGGGACACTGACCTAAGGAGGCCTGGTCACAGACCGGGCCGCGGGGGCGTTGACCCCCGGAACTCTCTCCAGATAAACTCCAGAAAGAAATACTGCTGTGGTCTTGGCAAAAAGAAATACCTTACAGAATTTTTCTCTGCTTCCGCTTACCTGGAGTTTACCTGAAGAGAGTTGCGGGGGTCAACGCCCCCGCGGTTCGGTCTGTGACCAGGCCTCATGGTGGATCAGAGCCTGATCAACCAGGCAGTTACTGCTGGCTGCACACAATCCAAAGTACGAGCCACAGCCCGGCTGGTAATGGAAAACACAGAAGCTACTAATGAAGAACCAGTACCACTAACAGATATTTCTTCTGAGAACCTCCCAGCATTCCCAAGTACATCTGCAGAGTGATCATCAAATGGTATACAATACCGACAGGTTGGTAGATAAGACACATAGGCAACATTTAGGCAACTTTATTCCGAAACGTTTCGCCTACACAGTAGGTCTCTTAAAGGGTGATGGACTGATTACATCGTCTTCACATCTCTACTGTTCCTGCCTACTTTCTGCACTCGACTGAAGAAACCTACTGTGTAGGCGAAACGTTTCGGAATAAAGTTGCCTGAATGTTGCCTATGTGTCTTACCTACATCTGCAGAAAATAAGAATATACCAGATCAAAGGTGATGAATCACTACTCTGATCCACCAGGAGGCCTGGTCACAGACCGGGCCACGGGGGCGTTGACCCCCCCGGAACTCTCTCCAGGTAAACTCTCCAGATAAACTACCATATTATACTGATACTTATGTAAACATGGACAGTAAATCTCCACCATGTGATTCAGACCCAGTCATGAGATTTTCTGTCAGGTAAAACCTTGTGTGTCCTTGTGGTCAACTGCCACCATATTATAATCAAAAAACGCTAAACCACAAGGGGTATACAGCATTACCATCATATATACCGAAAGTCTGACAGCAAAGATATAAATACACAACAGTAATTATTATAGTGTAGATGGGATATATTAAACTGAAAAATATAGCGAGTTATTCTTAAACTCAATTTTATTGAGAAAAATAAAATCAGATTTCTTCGAAATTAATTTTTTTTTCGAAAATTGATGTTCATTATTCATTTTAGATTATCTCTTATTTGTAACTCAATTTAATTCCCATGTGGAGGCTCCCCCCCCCAGGTTAAATCCGGCCTATTAAAACTAAGCACTAAACCCACACGAGGTGTCAAATACGTCAGCCCAACATCAAGTCTATGGACATTGTTCATTAGAATTACGAATATTTGGCAAACTAGTGTCTTTGTGCTAGTGTTAGTTTAATATCTATTATGTACCCCATACCCATCCTGTGGGCGGTAGTCACCCCATACCCATCCTGTGGGCGGTAGTCACCCCATACCCATCCTGTGGGCGGTAGTCACCCCATACCCATCCTGTGGGCGGTAGTCACCCCATACCCATCCTGTGGGCGGTAGTCACCCCATACCCATCCTGTGGGCGGTAGTCACCCCATACCCATCCTGTGGGCGGTAGTCACCCCATACCCATCCTGTGGGCGGTAGTCACCCCATACCCATCCTGTGGGCGGTAGTCACCCCATACCCATCCTGTGGGCGGTAGTCACCCCATACCCATCCTGTGGGCAGTAGTCGCCCCATACCCATCCTGTGGGCGGTAGTCAAAAGATCAGAGGTACTTAATGGGTCCAGGGACTGTACCTCAACATTACGGAGGTACATAATGGCTCCAGGGACTGTACCACAAAGTTTTGATAGTTGAACAAGGTACAAAGGTAATGAATCATGTACAATGTCCAGAGCGTCTCAAATACCAAGGTTCAAGTCACGTTAACACACAGTAACAAGACTGTGAGAGTCCCTTAGTAATTACCAAGTGACAACCATCACCCTCCCACCAGTAACAACTACTCACCCCCCTCCCCCCCCTCCACCAGCAACCAACCCCAGACCCTTCCCTTAACGACCTTCCCCCTCCCCACAAACAACCACTGACGTCATCACCCCCCCTCCTCATCCAGGTCAATGGCGCCATTTAGCTATGGAGGTCAACAATAGTGGCGCCACTAGTCACTTCTCTGCCATCCACCACGCCATCAACACCTCCAGCTCCATCAAACTCTGGTAATTAAAACTTGGATTATTCCAATTCCTTCGTAATTTTTGATAGATCAGCTTTGAAAATAGATATTTTTCTTTCTACTTCAAACTATTGCTGACTGTAGTTCATTAATCTAGTACATAGTTCTATCTTTGCAGACATTGTTTTGGTGTGTTGCTGCTGGTGATGACATCTCTGACGACTTGCAGCTGCCCACAGCACGGTCTTCACCACACAGCAGCTGCCCACAGCACGGTCTTCACCACACAGCAGCTGCCCACAGCACGGTCTTCACCACACGGCAGCTGCCCACAGCCCGGTCTTCACCACACAGCAGCTGCCCACAGCACAGTCTTCACCACACAGCAGCTGCCCACAGCACAGTCTTCACCACACAGCAGCTGCCCACAGCACGGTCTTTACCATACAGCAGCTGCCCACAGCACGGTCTTCACCACACAGCAGCTGCCCACAGCACGGTCTTCACCACACGGCAGCTGCCCACAGCACGGTCTTCACCACACGGCAGCTGCCCACAGCACGGTCTTCACCACACGGCAGCTGCCCACAGCACGGTCTTCACCACACGGCAGCTGCCCACAGCACGGTCTTCACCACACAGTAGCTGCCCACAGCACGGTCTTCACCACACAGCAGCTGCCCACAGCACGGTCTTCACCACACAGCAGCTGCCCACAGCACGGTCTTCACCACACAGCAGCTGCCCACAGCACGGTCTTCACCACACAGCAGCTGCCCACAGCACGGTCTTGACCACACAGCAGCTGCCCACAGCACGGGGAATATCTTCAACCTGATGAGATTAAGACACATGTGCAACATCTGGGTATCTTTATTGTAGACGTTTCGCCATCCAGTGGCTTTATCAATACAAATTCTAGGACAAGATTAATAAAAATTTAATAAATAAATAAGTTGTCTTTATCACAGTAATGTTCAAGGAACACACACAAAGGTGTTCAAGGAACACACACAAAGGTGTTCAAAGAACACTAAATAAATAGAAAAAGGAAATAATTGAGACAAGCCTCAACTGCTGCATTTGTCAGCAGGAGACAACATTCACACAACTCGGGAGCTTTAAGCTCGGGGAAAAAAAAAAATATACCTACCCCAACCCTACTAACAGCAGTAGTAATGAGACTGTTAGTCTCAATACTGCCATCATTAGTAGTTTGAGGTATGATACATTTCTAAAGTCTCATGACCTGGTGTTTGTATTGTCAGGAAGGTAAGTGTTGCGGCAGTGGACAGTCAGGTACAACACGGTCTTCGCTGTAAACACTTCCTGGTGCATAAGTCTTCCAACACAGGCTATTATGGTCACCTCGTCTCCAGTGTTCTGTCTTGTTTGTCAGGAGGATTCTGTGGCAATTAAAAAAGTTGGCGAGTGAACTCCCTAACATATTACAACCTAGACAAACCTACTCCTAATATTCCTTATAGGCCTATATTTAACAGGAAAAACAGATTTTAGTAGTCAACTTGCATTGCTCTACTCTGATTCAGACATGATTGACTTTCATCGACCTGTCCCTTGAGAGTTTACTGCTCCCCCGCCTCACCATTCAAACTTTTACGTACGTGCATATTTACCCAAATAAAATTACCCATAACTACATAGATGCGTTATACACAGCTTGGGGGAATGTTAGGCAATCAGGGTTGATGCAAGGAAGAGGAGGGTGCTTGTAACTGCTTGTATCAAGATACCTTCATTAGTACAAAGACACCCCTTGAAGGGTATCCAAATTTAACATGAATGTAGTTAGGATCATTAAGACATCACTGTACTTCCCAAACAATTCCACGTCCCCCAGAGCGCACTAGACTAACAACCAACACAATGGGTTATCTAACCAGTTGAAGCTCTGCCATATAGCAGTCTCCTAACACACTACTGTGCTAGCCTGAATTCACAACCTACCTTACCTGCCAGTTATGGCTGGCATCCCAGGCACAACCTGAGAACCAATACATTCAAGCCCCCACACACACACAACCTCTATCTGGGTTTCTAACCCAGCAGGGTTAATAATGCTGTTCCCACTAATAACAATCTAACTCACCCCCCTAACTATACTCATCAGCATCAGATGTTAGTTAATCCTTTCTGCCAACTAACACTTCAGATTACAGAAGTTTTCATTATATTCATCATTAACGTCTGCTGCCACAAGTGTTACACTTTATTACTTACAAACTATCAAACCAACTGCAATTCTGGACACTAAAACTTTTATATTCATAGGAACCTGAACGTCGCTTAAATTATCCAAAATGATAAAACTGTGTAAACTTAATGAGTCAATATTTAAGTTTGCAGTTTGACCAAAGGCATAAAAAACGTAGAACACCCACCACAACCACTACCCAAAGCCTGGAACCCACCAAAATCCCCACGGAAACCATGTACAATAACAGACTGCATACAGCTACTGAAGGTCGTTGGTGGGTTCCCAGGCCTACAGTTCTACGTAATCTATGCCTTCAGGGGAGATTACTCTCCCCTGCTATATGCATTCATTATGCATATAGCAGATTCTCCAATTATGTACCTTACCTATCCTACTTAACACTACCTAATTCTATAACCTATTTTGATAGAAACTAAATAATTGTAGACCTACAAAGTGAAATATACACCATAACTATGCAGCATACTCCAGGTATAGGCCTTACTAATTTGTAGAGAAGTGGCGGCGCAAGGGAGGATGAATGAAGGTACAGGTAAGATCAAGGAGTTCTAGGTGAGATCAGGGGGGTCTAGGAAAGGTCAAGGGGTCCAGGTAAGAACAAGGGGGTCTATGTAAGGTCAAGGTGGTCCAGGTAACTTAAAGAGGGGTTGGAAAACGTAAAAGGGGGTTTTTGTAAGATAAAGGGGGTTAGGTAAACATCGAAGGGTCTGGAAAGTAAAGAGGGTTGGGAAACACAGTCTGGGTAAAATAAAGGGGGGGTTAGGTAAGATAAGGGGTTTAGGTAAGATCAAGGGAGGTTTGGTAAGATCAAGGGGGGTTTGGGCAAGATAAAGGGGGGTTATTGGGTAAGGGGGTCCAGGTAGATGAAGGGGGGTCTGGATAACGCAAAGGGGTCTTGAAAAGATAAGGGGCTGGTATGACGAAGGGGTATGGGAAAAGATCAAGGGGGGTCTAGGTATAGTCAAAGGGGGTCGGTAACATCAAAGGGGCAGTGTAAGATCAAGGGGGCAAGGGGGGTTTAGGTAAGATAAAGGGGGGTATAGGTAAGTTTAAAGGGGGTTGGGGTAAGATCAGGGAATTTTAAAAATCGGGGTTAGGTAAGTCAAACGAATCTGGGTAAGAACAAGGGGGTCTAGGTAAAAACAGGGGGTCTAGGTAAAAACAGGGGGTTAGGTAAGAACAAGGGGGTCTTGGTAGAACAAGGGGGGTCTAGAAAAGATCAAGGGGGTCTAGGTAAGATCTAAGAAAATTGGTAAGATAAAGGGATCAGGTAAGATCAAGGGGGCCTGGGAAAGATAAAAAGGAATTAGGTAAGTAAAGGAGGTCTCTTTTAAGAAAAAGGGGGGTTGGGTAAGATCAAGGGGGTTAGGAAGATCAAGGGGGGTATGGGTAAGATCAAGTGGGTTGGGTAAGATCAAAGGAATCTGGGTAAGATCAAGGAGGTCTAGGTAAGCCCAAAGGGGGTCTAGGTAAGCCCCAAGGGGGTCTAGGAAGTAAAGGGGGTTGGGTAAAAAAAAAAAGGGGGATCTACGCCCCGCGGCCCGGCTTGCCCAGGTTTCGGTGGATCGGGGGTATCATGCATAATAAAAATATCGCACTAACTACAGAATACTTCCTATTATTCCCGACCAGAGTTTTAAATCTCTGGTCGGGAGACAGTCAATACTTCCCACACTAGTTACTACAGGGTTAATAATGCTGTTCCCACTAATAACAATCTAACTCACCCCCCTAACTATACTCATCAGCATCAGATGTTAGTTAATCCTTTCTGCCAACTAACACTTCAGATTACAGAAGTTTTCATTATATTCATCATTAACGTCTGCTGCCACAAGTGTTACACTTTATTACTTACAAACTATCAAACCAACTGCAATTCTGGACACTAATACTTTTATATTCATAGGAACCTGAACGTCGCTTAAATTATCCAAAATGATAAAACTGTGTAAACTTAATGAGTCAATATTTAAGTTTGCAGTTTGACCAAAGGCATAAAAAACGTAGAACACCCACCACAACCACTACCCAAAGCCTGGAACCCACCAAAATCCCCACGGAAACCATGTACAATAACAGACTGCATACAGCTACTGAAGGTCGTTGGTGGGTTCCCAGGCCTACAGTTCTACGTAATCTATGTCTTCAGGGGAGATTACTCTCCCCTGCTATATGCATTCATTATGCATATAGCAGATTCTCCAATTATGTACCGTACCTATCCTACTTAACACTACCTAATTCTATAACCTATTTTGATAGAAACTAAATAATTGTAGACAGATAAGATAAGATAAGATTTCGTTCGGATTTTTAACCCCGGAGGGTTAGCCACCCAGGATAACCCAAGAAAGTCAGTGCGTCATCGAGGACTGTCTAACTTATTTCCATTGGGGTCCTTAATCTTGTCCCCCAGGATGCGACCCACACCAGTCGACTAACACCCAGGTACCTATTTGCTGCTAGGTAACAGGACAATGGTGTAAGGGAAAAGTGCGGAATTT